GATCCCTGCAGTAACGTATGATAATACTCAAATTCCATATACAGAGACCGCTAAGAACTTAGGTGTTATTTTTGATAATAATTTGTCTTGGGTCGCTCACATTAATATGATTAGCAGAAAAGTGAACTACTCTTTTCAATCTCTCAAGCGTCTCCAGATGTTTTTACCGTTAAAAACTAAGATAACCTTAGCTCAAGCACTTCTTCTTCCTCTCATTCTTCTTCATCTCAAGATTTAAGGTTCTGCACATAAAGGGGATTGTTAAGTGATGTATAACCCTATTGAATTTTCTTGTCTATGAAAGAATTTAAGGTTCTGCACATAAAGGGGATTGTTAAGTGATGTATAACCCTATTAAATTTTCTTCACTATGAAAGAATTTAAGGTTCTGCACATAAAGAGTTCGAATCGTTCGAAGATCCCTGCAGTAACGTATGATAATACTCAAATTCCATATACAGAGACCGCTAAGAACTTAGGTGTTATTTTTGATAATAATTTGTCTTGGGTCGCTCACATTAATATGATTAGCAGAAAAGTGAACTACTCTTTTCAATCTCTCAAGCGTCTCCAGATGTTTTTACCGTTAAAAACTAAGATAACCTTAGCTCAAGCACTTCTTCTTCCTCTCATTGACTACGCTGATGTTAGTTTTTTGGATGCTTCAGAGGAGCTGTTGAACAAACTGGAACGAGTTCAAAATTTGTGTATACGTTTTATTTTCGGTCTTCGTAAGTTTGATCATGTTTCAGAGTACAGGGCTCAATTAAAATGGCTTCCTATCCGTAAACGTCGAGACTTACATGTGTTATCATTTCTATACTTTCTACTCTTTAATCCTCTTGCACCTCCATATCTCCGCGAGCGTTTTTGAGTATCTTGTACCTCGTGAAACTCAGTGCCGGACCACTAAACAACTACTTCTCAAAACTCCTTTTCATTTCACAAGCCGTTGTGGTGGATCCTTTACTGTAAGGGCGGTCAAGCTATGGAACTCACTTCCACATGACATACGTGCTAGCTCTTCTCTTGATATATTTCGGAGCAGAGTAAAGAAATATTATCTGTCAACTTAGAATTATAAATATTTACATATTTTATGTATTTATATGTATAATTGTATATATATGTATGTGTGTATGTATATATATGTATATATATATGTATATATATATATGTGTGTGTGTATATGTGTATATATGTTTATATTTATTATCTTTATTGGTATATATGTATGTAAATTAATAGAAATAAGAATAAAAGGAATAAGAAAATAAATTATACTTATATGTTATACACTTATATGTTAATTGTTAACTGTAACTTATAGCCAATTTCTATTAAGTAGCGTTATGTTAATTATTGAGTACGCACGCTGCTACCTACTTGCTTTATATATAAAATTATTTCTCTTTCCCAATAGGTTTGCTGGAAGAGAACTCTTATTAGGGTTAAGCTCGCCTTTGTACATTTATTTAAATATTTAATAATTGTTACCAACTAATTGTGTGTACAATAAAGAATAAAGAATAAATAAAGAAAGAGGATTGTTAAGTGATGTATAACTCTATTGAATTTTCTTCACTATGAAAGAATTTAAGGTTCTGCACATAAAGAGGATTGTTTAGTGATGTATAACTTTATTGAATTTTCCTTGAGTGTAGATCATAATTAGTCAGTTATTTATTACAATTTATTTTTTTTTTCGTGGGTTTTTTGGGCCTGCCTCCTTTTTGTTGTGGTGCGCTTGAATTAGATCATCTTCAGTATATTGCCACTTTAGTTGAAAACGTTTGTCTAGGAGATACTTTATCTACTCTGTTGTTGCAGAGTTGAATTGAATTTGTGTAACAGAGTCTACAATATTATGTTTTGTCATTCTTTCCTCATTCTTTTATCGACCGATTTCAAAAGAAGAAGGACATTCTTAATTCATCTGTATTTTTTTTATGTCTGTTGCCTCATAACTTTTTTCTAGGTAAACCGATTTTAACAATTCCTTTTTTATTTGATAGTTGGTACTTCTCATGTGGTACCATATAAATTTGATCAAGAAGATCTGATCAGTAGTTTTTGAGTTATCCTTAATAATGTGTATTTTATTTAATTTCTAATACATTGATGATGTTCTCATTTTATTTATATTGAAGTAGAAAGAACACTTGTTTATGTACAATCCCTTAAAAACATACTTTTTTATTTTACTTTTTCTTTTTGCACAATTTCTCACCATTCCACTTTGAACATACTTCTTAATGACCACATTTTTACAGCAGTTACTTCACTCCCATTCCTATTTTGCCACACCCAACTTTCACTACCATTTATTGAGGTAGATATTTACACAGCTTTGAGAATTGCCATAATGCCAATTGCCATGTGGAAGCCGTGCGACAGGATCATCGTTCCCATCGCGTTAGGGAGGTTGCAGCAGCTACAGTTCGCGACCGCAACAAAGGATACAGCCCTAGGTGCTATGGCTGTGGGGAAAGGGGCCATCTTAGATCCAGCTGCCCTAAGCGAAATGTAGAAAAGGAAGTTGATCGATCTCGAGAGGGTAGTGCAGCTAACGGCACCACCTGGCGGCGGCAGGATAAACGCTCCCCCTCACGCTAGGGAAGTTACAGCACTTACGGTTCGCGACCACAATAAAGGATACAGCCCTAGGGGCTATGGCTGTGGAGAAAGGGGACATCTTCGATCCAGCTGCCCTAAGCGAACCCTAGAAAGGGAAGGTGAACGATCTCAGAAGGGAAGTGCTGCTAATATCACCGCCCAGCAGCAGCCGGGATACGACTTTACTATCACATCGCAGCGGGAAATCTCATGGCAACGCAGATGCATTGTCAAGAAGACCTTGTCCTGAAGATTGGAAACATTGTACTAGGCAAGAGAGTAAGGAAGTGGTATCCGTGAGGATGCTCAGGACAGACCACCTCAGCAACGAGTGGAAGGACAGCCTACGACATGCACAGCAGGAAGATCCGGACATCAAGCCGATTCTGGAATGGATGAAGGCCCGTGCTACCAAGCCTAAGTGGAGCGACGTCTCAGCGATGAGTTCGACCACTAGAAGCTATTGGGCCCAATGGGACAGCTTGCTGATTCAGGATGGAGTCCTGTGCCGTAAATGGGACAATGGTCGAGGAGACAGCTGTCGTTTGCAAATGGTTGTCCCTAAAGCTAAAGTGCCGAATGTTCTACAGCTGTGCCATAATGGTCGTTCACGAGTCCATCTGGGAGTTAGTTAAACGAACTCTACTGAAGGTCCGAGAACAGTTTTACTGGCTCCATTATCGTGACGATGTCGAGGATTGGTGTCGTAGATTTGTGCGGCTGTGAGGGGACCTCAGACACGTAGTAGAGGAGCATCGAAATTGTACAATGTTGGTGCACCATGGGATAGGACAGCCCTTGACATTGCGGAGCCGTTACAGAAAGGCGCAAGAAGGACTCCTAAGATCGACGAGCATGTCTTAGGAGGGGGCAGTGTTGCGAGCCTAAGTTGACGTCATGTACCCGGCACTTGCGCCATCTGTGTCGGGTAACGGAGCGAGGAGAGCTTTCCAGAAAATGACATCACTAATCTTTCAACCGACAGCGCCATCTAGTATCGAAACGAAGAACTAAGCTTCTAGAAGCCCGACACTCGAACTTTCGGCGCCTAGTCGATTGGCGCGCTTATTTACTTTAATATTCTGGATATTTCGATGATAATGTGTATTTAAAGGCGCTGCAAGATGCGAGCGGGGAAGTATTGAATTTGGCGAGACAAGCGAAGCTTCGGAGCGAAATAAAGTGAATCACTGATTAATTATTAGTGTCTTCTAAGTTTTAATTAGTGTAGTGAATTAAAGAGTTAGTTTTGGTAATTCTATCGGCAATTTTTATTGTCACGAACCTCAAGTTCGTAACAATGTTTTCTGTAGGTATGGTTTGAAAATTTCGATTTTTTGGAAGTTGTGTGGGTCAAATCGGCTCAGAGAACATTATTATACGTTTTAAAATTATTTTACTCTTAAGTAAAGGAGGGATTTGCAACAAATAGTGTATTCGGCCATACGCCGAATACCGAATATTCTGCGGACTTCCTGGCCGGTTTTTGAAAGAAGATAGTAAAATGTGTTGTTATGTGAAATAAGAATAGAAGGGGAGTTAATTGAGCGAGTGGATAAGTTCGTTTCTTTGGGATATGTAAATTTAGCAGAGATGGTAGATATGGTAAGGATATAGAATGACGAGTGAACATAGGAAAGAGTGGATGGGGCACTAGACTCTATTATGAAAAGTCAGAATGTGTCAAAAAAGGCACATGGCAATTCATAATGCTGTGTTAGTCCCTACTTTAATGTATGGTGGTGAAAGTTGGGTGTGGCAGAAGAAGCACGAGAGTAGAATAAATACTGTAGAAATACGGTTGTTACGAAGTATACTAGGATTGAATCTGAATGACAGGGTTAGAAGTTTTGTGATAAGAGAAAAGTGTGGTTTGCAATGCAATGTTTGTTTGGTCATGTAGAAAGAATGACAAAGCTAATGTATATTGCAGATGTGAATAGTAGAGTCGGGAAAGGACGTCCTAGAAGAAGGTTTATCGACCAAATTGGCGATATATTGAAATTGGGCAAGATTAGGTAGTACCCTTAGTGAGAGAGGTGTGTCAGGATCATGCCAAATGGAAGTATGTAGTCTCTGTCTACCCCTCTGGGCGACAGGCGTGAGTGTTTATGTTATGTTTAATTACGATGATTCGAGTCCATAGACATTTATTTGATAGTTCTTATTTAATTTTTTATAGCATGGAGCACCTATGACTGACTACTTTAATGATTACGAAAAAAAATTTATAAAATAAATAAATATTTTCATTTTACCAATTATCTGACTACAATAAAACCTCTTACTTAAGTATTCGGCCGAATGGTTCCTAGATATCCGAACGAATAGTTCTTCGTTGCAAGTCTAACACATTTATTTATAACAAATTCTTAATTTGACAGTCTCTAGATGGTCGGCTGAATGGGGAAGCGGAGTTGCACGATCGCGTGCAGCACCTCTGCGAAGCGTGGCGGCGCATACATAGCTTGTGCCAACACTCCGCCCACACCACACATCCGCATCTACTCAGCTGGCTGCAGAGGCACACCGCGCGGACTATACTACAGGTAGGACCTATCTTAATAAGTAAACCGTCCACTGAAGAGGCCAGTGAGCATCTGCACTCTCAAAAAAGAGAAGAAAAATACAAAATTTATACATTATAATAATAATAATAATTTATTTGCAAGAAATATGGTAGTTACAGGATTAATCATTTGGTATGGTACAATCGTATTTCGCCAGTGGCATGCAAATATATAATTTTATAATTGTCAGTATAGTGCTATATAAATGTTCTATGAATATCTATGGTTAATTACAATTTCGTGATAAACCTAAGAATAAAATGTCACAAGATAAATAACACACATATACATAGACGTTAACAATAAACAAGAAATAATACAAAATTCGATCCAGTCTTAATGCCAATATAAAATAAAATAATAAAAAATATCGTCAAGTTAAGGTATACATGTCAACAGTTATCAAGTCAAGTCAAGATTATATGAAATATCACTTTGGTCTATAACAATAAAATTCATCTAGGGAATAAAAACAATTCTGAATAAGCCATTGCTTCAATGTTTTTTGAAAAAAGTTAAATGGCAGTTTTCGGATATCACTGGGGATTTTATTATATACTTTTATATACATATTGAGACAACTCTTCTGATAAAAGACAACATTTTCGTAAATTTTGACTGAAGTCATTTGAGAATGTTTGGTATTATGATAATGACTTATCTTGGTAACCTACATAAGATATTAATAATTAAAAGATGTGGGCTTGTAATTGAAACTGATATATTTACGCAATACTACAAAACCAAACATTGAAATGAAACCAACTGTGATTCTCACTAGAGTTAACTGCACTGCAACTATTGTGCCTTTGAGACTACTTTTCCTGGCCTTGGGATTTTATATGCAAATATGAAATAATTATTGTGTTATTTGCTTATTGTTACAAAATTTTTGGCTATTTGCCTTAAGTTGCCTTTTACGGCAGCCACAGATTTAAATAAAATTCAGTTATGCTGCCAGCACTTCGATATCATATATTGTTAAATGAGATGACTAAAAATATGGCATATTATGCTCAACAGCTCGGCTGCCCAGTTGTGACAAAACAAGTTTAAAAAAAATAGTTTTACTTTATTTTTCAATCTTTCATTATTTTCATTATCATTATCTCTTACTTTCATTATCAAAACATCATTATTTTTAATGTTACCAGACTGAATGGCAGTCACCAGAAAGCAAAACCGAACATGTGAAATTAAGTGAAGCAATTGAAGCTTTTATTAAGGAAACTCAGGATGCGATTGCAAGCAGAGATGGCACCAATCCATTTTGGGAGAGTCAGCTGCAACAAAGGGCCGAGTGGTTCAAGAATGTGCTCTCGAATCCTTGGGGACACCCGGTTCTCAGAGTACTCTTAGACCCTACAGGAGAAACGCCAAGCGATAAAGAGGGTCAGTGTTCATCATAATATTACATAATTTTTTAAATTTTATTATTACCCTTTAGTTATGAGATTTTTACCACTCTTACCACTCTTGGAAACAAGATGAAACTTGTGCCCAGCTGTGGGATAAAGGCCGTTCTCCGATCTTTTGTACTTTAAACCTCGAAACTCAAAATGACGTAATAGTTTAAAATAGTACTTTATTTGACATATAAGCCAAATAAAAGCGGTGGAATTCAACAACTGGAGATTTGCAACATGCTAATTGGCGCAACTTGTGTGTATCATCACTTGCGCGTTGGTAGGTCTATATTGGCATAACATAAATAGTCGCTCACGCTTGTCACCCAGAGGGGTAAGCAGACGCTACCGGACTTCAGTTTGGCATGACCCTGACACACTTCTTTCACATCTATCTATCTATGTATATATACTTCTTTTTTATATTGTTATGACCCTGACACACTTCTTTCACATCTATCTATCTATGTATATATACTTCTTTTTTATATTGTTATTACTATATTGTGCAACACAACACTACCTCAGTCTTTATTCTCTCTAAAAGTCTCATTCGGAGCTGACAAATCAATTATATAATACAGTTATAGAATGGCTGAAGGAGGAGCGTGGTGTAATATTCGTGACGCGGTTGCGGCACCTGGCTTCGTCGAAGAAGTGCCTCGACTTGGCCTGCGCACTTGCCTCCGCAGTAATGGACCGCGCAAGGGCTTCCGCTGCCGTAACGAACGACGACGCAGGCGACAAGAAAGGTGAACGCAATAACCTCTAAGACACGCACCATTCTTTCTCTAAATTTCTACATCAAGAGTGCATTATAAATATCTAAATGTGTTCTGTCACACACAAGTTGATAAACTTCTTTTGTTGGCTTAGGTTAAGTAACGCGATTAATAATATAGATAAAAGGTTATTGGCGAAGATTTGAACCTAGAAACTGAGCCCACTATCATAATATAAACTACTCATATGTCATTACTTTTACCATAACGGTAACAGTGATGCGGCCTAATAAAGTCCTTTGCTGAACATAGGCTTGACCCATAGATTGCCTCATAGGGTGGGGAGGATATTTGTTATACTTGCCTTAGTGGCAAGTGGGTTGGCAAATGCAGTTTTTTATTGTTAGTTGTTATTAGGAATATGCTGCTGTCTATTTCCTGATTTGTTTCCTCGTGTCGCCTCTTACGACACACACGGGATAATGTGGGATAACGCGAAAGCAGCTGAATTAGAGCACTATACTGATACACATCAAGCTGGCAAATTTTTCGAAGGCTTACAAACGACTTTCGGTCTACTGGTTTCTGACCTGGCAGAGGAACCATTGATGCTATTTCTGTTATTAGGCAATTCCAGGAAAAAAGTCTCGAACATCAATGGCCCTTCTACATGTCCTTTGTCGAATTGGAGAAAGCATTTGATAGAGTTCCACGCGAGGTACTTTGGCTTGTCCTTAAAAAATTTGGATATCCAAAAAAGTTCGTCAACCTTATTCGCCAATTCCATATTGGCATGAAAACGCAGGTTCAGCATGAAAACAAATTTTCTGAGGAGATTCAAATTTCATGTGGAGTAAAGCTACGATGTGTCATGGCACCAACACTCTTTGCCATATATTTTTCAGTTCTGAGGGACACACTGAGGTGTTGTAGCAATCAAATCCAGCTCAACGTCAGGACTGAGAAAAGCGTGTTTGACACCTCAAAGTTCAAAGCGAAATTCATAGTTCGAAAGATCTCCATATTGGAGATTCTTTATGTTGATGACATGTGCCTCATGTCACATAGCATGTCGCATTTGCATTGACGCATTTCATTATTCTTGTCAACAATTTGGCCTGGTCATAAGCGCTTCCAAGACTCACATCAACAAACAACCACTTAGAGGAAGTAAAGCTGATCCAACCGTACTGAATCTAGACGATAAACCACTAGAGGAGGTCTGACACTACAAATATATTTTTTAAGCAATATCCAGCTTGAGAATAACATTGCTTCGGTGATACCATCACGCGTTGCTAACACCGCTGCTAATTTCGGGAGACTCAATGATCGTGTCTGGAGGCCCCATGATCTCAGGTTAGAAACGAAGATTAGCGTCTATAAGGCTAATAATTCCTGTCCTTTTATTTGGCGCAGAGACATGGTGCCTTTACAAAACAGATATTAAAAAATTTGACACTTACCACCTAAGATGTCTAAGATGTCTTAGGTGGTAAGATCAAGTGGCAGCACCACGTTCCTAATTCTGATGTCTGCGTCTTTCTGAAATGTTCGGCATTGAAGCTCTCCTAATGCAACGTCAGCTCAGGTGGTGCGGGACGTCCTTCGCATGGAAGACCGCCGTTTACCTAAAGCTGTCTTTTATTTAGTGCCGTGTTTCGGTTTGAACTATAAAGGAGCCTGTGTAATTAAGACCTTTCAAGGTATTCCAGGGGTGCCAATGTAACCTTCTATATTGTGTCGGGCAGACAGCGCTGGTCAAAATACGCACTGACGCACCCAAACCATTGTTAGGCCTTACTGTTATTGGTTTCTGGTCACGGCAAGTGTGAAATAGCAACGCTTTTATTTCATGTGTTAATTCAGAAACACAATCTGTCTATGTACCTAATTTCATTCCAGTTTGTTGAAACATACCTACTACTATAACCAATACAAATGAAATATTTTTGTTTGTAGTAAAATTGGAGAAGAAAGAACCAACATTCGTCGAAATACTAAAAACTGAGGCGGGTTTTACGGTGGATGTGTGGGAGCTTCTCACGGATTTGGAGTTTGTACTTCTCTTCAAAGCAGAGAATCGGGCGCGTTGCATAGAGTTGGTAAGAGTGCTAGAAGCTTTGATATATCAGTTTTTTAATATTTTTTTTTGCATAAAAATTATACTTCTATGTAAATGTTGGTGCTGTGGGGTAAAACAAGATGTTGTTTAAATAATGAATAAAAATTTTCGTTACAGGCAAAACAAACACCACTCCGAAGCGGTTACCAGCTTGTGGAGAGGTTGCACAGTCGACTCGAAATGTCACCACGGGAAAAGAAGCTTTGGAAAAATGCAAAGGAAGTTGCTACACTTATTGCGCAGGTATACTATATTTTTTATTGTTTTGTAGCGCGCGTAAGAGCGCTCCGCTCCACTGCTAGTCCTTGACAACTTTAAAAAATCGAAAAGATGGTAAAGCAATTTGGGAAAACATAAACAAGTTTCTTTTCATTAATTAGCATAAACATTTCACTGCGAGAGGTGTAAGACTCTGGCTTACTTATTAAGATTTTAACCAAATTCACTCATTCACTAAATGTTTGTCTGTCTTTTTTTATATAAAATAAGGGTGACAAACGAGCACACAGTCCACCTGATGGTAAGTGGATGCTGTGGCCCATAGACATTTACATTTATCCTCGATTAAGAATCAAAACGCAGATGCGTTGTCACGTATTTTCTAAGAAATTGTTATGAAGTTACACTTTCCTAATCTGTTTTCATTATTTTTGTCTTGCAAATCCATTAAAAAAATTAGTTTTTTACTATAGGTATGCCTCATAGACTTGGCATCTTCTATTTAAATTCAAAATCCAAAACAGATTTCTAACACAATATGTAGCATCTCTTTAAAAATTTTGACTCTTTTGACTTAACTATGTCTATGACTAACTGAAAATTTTGAAGTAGGTAATTCGTCTCTTGTTTATAACAATGTATTTTGCTCCTACTCTATTTTTAGCTTTCTATTTTTGATCCGATTAGTGTCGTATGGTACTCACGAACTCTTAATGGCCATAATTAACTTGTTGTCTTCACAAATATCCTCTCTAAAATTTCTTTCAAAAAAATAAATAGTATGGAGTTTAGCCACTTCATTAAATAAATTTCGTGTCTCTTTTCGAAATTAACTCTCTCGTCCTCATTTTCACTAAAACTCATGATATTTTCCTAATATCATCATAATTGTTTTTGAAACTTTGACAGCTATTACCTTCACTGGGGTCTGGGGACCATTTATATCCCACGGGCCCTTGGGCTGCAACCCAAAACGTGTACATATAGACCAACCCTGCTGTTGAACATAGGCATCCACATAGATTGCTTCTTAAGTGGGGATTTTGCTATAGTTGCCACGCTTGATGGCAGGTTCGACTCACAGAAACCACAGATTTTTATAACTTTTAGTTGTTATTAAGAAAAAGCCGTGGTAGGTCAGGGCCTAATAGCTCGCTGTAAATTTCACAGTATGCAAGTAACCCGGGTTCGATCCCCGCCGGCACCAATGAAATTGTTAAATGCAATTTTAAGTGCTGATTTACCACGTGCTCGGCAGTTAAGGAAAAACATCGTGAGGGAACCTGCATGTCTAAGAAATAAGAAAAAATATGTTTCAAAGGCATGTGAAGTTCGCCAACATGCACTGGGGCAGTGCGGCGGACATTTCCTCGCCCTAAAATCCTCAGCCGTGATAGCTCAGATCGTTAGCGGTGGCTGTAAATTTCACAGTACGTGAGCAAACCGGGTTCGATCCCCGCCGACAACAATGAAATTGTTATAATTATTAATGATAAAAATAATAATTAAAATGTTCAAAGAGCTGGAACAAAATCTGGTATTTGGTGGTCTTTAAAACTTTGACCTTTAATAAACAATAAATGTTCTTATATTTATTTACTAACTTGAGAAGACTTATAAATACCGTCTGAGAGCATACATATCAAATTTCATATTAACTATGAGCTAATATTTTACACATTAAAGAAAAAAATTACACCCAATGTAATCTAATATTTTGTTTTGGCTGGACATAACATAATCTACGTCTCTGATTCTTTCTTGGAATGTTTCTTTAGAGTTTGTGAAGTTATGTAGTTTTGTCTTCCATTGTGTTTGGATTTGCTCTACGACAATGCTGAAACTGTAAATTTATAATGTAATTTAATGAGATAGACGAAGTAAAAATGTTAATGGGATGTCATGTCATCCAAAAGATGGCAGTGTAATCATTCCGTTTTCGCCCAGATGTATGCTCAGACTAGAAAGAGGGAAAAGCGTCATAGGTGTAAGCGGTAAAAGCTCATAATAAATAATTCCTTTCCAATCCCTCCAATTCATCATCACCTTATTGTGTGTTAATCCGAGTTTCGCTATGGTCTGTGGGTCTTGACTACCCTTTGACCATGATCTTTTTCGCACGTACCTGTCGTAGGTGATCCACTTTTCATCACCAGTGATCTATCAATCTTTTCAAAAATGGTTCGGCTTAATTACGTTTCAATAGAGAATCGCAAATGAGTACACAAGCTTAGTTTAGTTTACGACGGACTGTTTTCCGCAACTCCACGTCTAAGCGCGTATTTTGCGTGTGGGCAGGAATAATGTGATTATTCGAGCCATGAAATTTCCCCGAAGAAGTTTCCTTTGATGATGTTGCAAGCAACTTAACGGATAGATCTCGACGTGCCGAGATGTTCATCCCTGTATTAAGCGACCTCCGGACATAGCAGCAACACGTGAGCGGCCGTTTTTTCTTCCCCCATGCTTGCCCTGCACAGGGGACTATCTCTAACACCTATGGTAAATAAATGTTTGTTAAAAGAGCCATGTCCTGTGATAGCACTTGTTATATGTTGCTATCCTGATCTGCGGCTTCTTCGGGCACGGCAGTCTCATTAGAACCTTGGTTAGATGACTGTTTATTTCAGGCAGGGCCTCCCTACCTAGCCTGTCTACAGTCTACTAAACCTTTCCAAAGCTGAACATTTAAATTATTGAAGTTTCTATGTACCAGTGAATGAATGTACCCAAAGGGGATTGGTATTATTGGTTCAGGCCCTATAGTGGCCAGAGCCGATCCCCTTCTGGCCAGTTCATCTGCTGCATTGTTGCCTCTAGATCCACTGTGTCCCTTAATCCATTGCAGAGTCACATTGTTGTGCTTACATACCTCATTTAATCGTTGATGGCATTCATATATTAGTCCTGAGTTCACCACATTACAACTCAGAGCTTGTAGTACTGCCAGTCAATATTCTGATAGAGAAGTCTTTTACCTTCCTAGCATCTATTGCTATGGCCGCTTGGATGATACCCATACATGCAGCCTGGAAGACAGTGTTATGTGTACCCAGCGGTGTACATATGTGGATATTAAGGTGCTCAGAGAAACTTCCAGATTCTACATCGTCATTTGTTTTAGAACCATCCATGAAAACTCTAAGCTCTTGGGTTTATTCCTTCCAGATGGACAGTTTCATTCAATTGTATCTTGTACTTATCGAATACAAATTGTTTTGGGATCCTATCATACTTGGTTTGTAAGATAGGAATTTTTGAGTATATTCTATCAATTATACCTGTATGGGGGACTCTACTCGTACTTAAAGTTGCTTTTTGTTGTATATGTAGATGAAGCGGGGTTAGCCCCAGTATAGCCTCTAAAGCTGCTGTCGCTGTAGTTCTTATGCAGCCTGTGGCAGCCATACATGCCAACCTCTGGTAACGCTGAAGCTTTGGTGGCTTCATTAGTTTTGGTCCACCACACCAGAGAACCGTATGTGATCATGGGCCAAATTACAATTTTATACAGCCACAGTTCAATTTTTGGCGTCAAACCCCATCTTTTGCTAATCATGGTTTTCTGAATTGCCAGAAAGTTATACTAGCTTTGTTGATTTTGTTTTCTATGGGTTTATTCCAGTTAGTTTACTGTCCAAGGTAAGACCTAAGTATTTTACCTCAGAGGATAGCTGGAGTTTTGTGCTGAAAAGACTTGGAAGATGATAGTTATTCAGCATTCGTTTTTGTGTTAACATTACTATAACCGTTTTGTTTGGATTAACGGTTAGGTCATATTCCCTGGCTTTTTGTTACAGGCAGAGTTATGAGTACACAATTTATTGGGTTTCTTTCAGTGAGCTTGTGTGGTACTCAAATATCGATCTTTTTTGTATACCCAGATATTTTCAAATGGGTCAAAACTGTTTTGTGTTCAATCCTCAATACCTTGTGTAACCTGTCGTAACTACTAATATGCCGATCTTGCTTCACTTTTTTAATAATGGCGTCTACTTTATCCGTATGTGGGGGCGACCAGAGCGATCTGAATTTTTGATATCAAAATTCCTGGACTGAAAATGCTTGAACCAACTTTATGCTACTCCTACTGATACTGGATTAGTTTCATAAACGTCACTAATTTTTTTCGCGGCTTGGGTCATATTTTTCCATTTTTTGTGATAAAACTTCAGAATGTATCGAATTTATTTGTTATGTTCACTCATTTTGGTGGACAGAATAATATTTGAAAAATATATGTATTGATATTAAAACCAGCCGGATCCAAACAGTAACCAAAGAGATTTTTCTTCAATTTTATACAAACAAAATACGATGACTTCCAGTCTCCCGAGCAAGCCGGTTTGCGAAAAGGCTTTAACACTATAGACCACATACATACCCTTCAGTAAATTGTACAGAATTTGTTGTTTAATTAATTTAAAAAAATTAATGTTTAAAATTTTTTAATTTCTTTGTTGAACAGGTATGTTTAAATATTCCGACTGGGTAAGTCTTCTTCAACCGATAGGTCAATCGACGGATTCTCGGCTGATGATGATAAATGATGACGACCTTCCGCCATTGCGCTACTTTACTATTAGAACTAGGTCGGCTTCATAAGTCGATGTAGTACTTGACAAATTGTGTAGATGGCACTGTTACAGAATTATTGCATTTGTAAGATTTGTTTTACTAGATTTCTCCCATTTCACCAATGATTTTGTATCTATCTAATATCTGTTTTTTTTTTCTATAAAAATAAATCTGAAACAACATGGAATACTTGACAAATCATGTAGATGGCGGTATCTACATGGTTTGTCAAGTATTCCATCATCCTGCGAAGCTGATGTAGTTCTTCGCGAATTTTATAAAATAGCGCGGTTATTAACGCCGCATATACGTTAGTTGACAGAGCCTGGTTTTGAGAATCAAAAAATATTTTATTGAACTTGGCTTGACTACAGGTCTGACGGAGTTGGTCCAATACAATGTCGCGATTTGTGAGGTTAATCATAAATTAAAGCTGAACAAATTTTTTGTTGAAAATTTAAGTTTTTAAATAGTTTTTAATAGGTTTTAAATAGTAAATTAATTAGTGCTCGCCACTGGCAAAAGAACTACAGCACGAGTCCATTACCAAAGAAAAATAAAATAAAGTGGATAATTTTTGATGTTAGGTGATAATAGCGCGGTGCATGGTGGTGCCAGTGTGCAGCGGCAGCGCGCGCACGGCTCTGTACTGCTGCGCACGGTCGCTGGCGCGCCTACTGCCCGCCGAGCGCCTGCCCGCCGCCGCCAGCGCGCTCGCCGCGCCCGCCGCCACCGCGCGCCACCTGCACACGCTCGCCGCTGCCGTCGATGCACAGGCACGTACACACACGCACGCCACCGCGCGCCACCTGCACACGCTCGCCGCTGCCGTCGATGCACAGGCACGTAACAACCGCACGCCACCGCGCGCCACCTGCACACGCTCGCCGGTGCCTTCGATGCACAGGCACGTACACACACGCACGCCACCGCGCGCCACCTGCACATGCTCGCCGCTGCCGTCGATGCACAGGCACCTACACACACGCGCACGCCACCGCGCGCCACCTGCACACGCTCGCCGGTACCTTCGATGCACAGGCACGTACACACACGCACGCCACCGCGCGCCACCTGCACACGCTCGCCGCTGCCGTCGATGCACAGGCACGTACACACACGCACGCCACCGCGCGCCACCTGCACAAGCTCGCCGCTGCCGTCGATGCACAGGCACGTACACACACGCACGCCACCGCGCGCCACCTGCACACGCTCGCCGCTGCCGTCGATGCACAGGCACGTACACACACGCACGCCACCGCGCGCCACCTGCACACGCTCGCCGCTGCCGTCGATGCACAGGCACGTAACAACCGCACGCCACCGCGCGCCACCTGCACACGCTCGCCGCTGCCTTCGATGCACAGGCACGTACACACACGCACGCCACCGCGCGCCACCTGCACACGCTCGCCGCTGCCGTCGATGCACAGGCACCTACACACACGCACGCCACCGCGCGCCACCTGCACACGCTCGCCGCTACCTTCGATGCACAGGCACGTACACACACGCACGCCACCGCGCGCCACCTGCACACGCTCGCCGCTGCCGTCGATGCACAGGCACGTACACACACGCACGCCACCGCGCGCCACCTGCACAAGCTCGCCGCTGCCGTCGATGCACAGGCACGTACACACACGTGCGCCACCGCGCGCCACCTGCACACGCTCGCCGCTGCCGTCGATGCACAGGCACGTACACACACGCACGCCACCGCGCGCCACCTGCACACGCTCGCCGCTGCCGTCGATGCACAGGCACGTACACACGCGCACGCCACCGCGCGCCACCTGCACACGCTCGCCGCTGCCGTCGATGCACAGGCACGTACACACACGCACGCCACCGCGCGCCACCTGCTCACGCTCGCCGCTGCCGTCGATGCACAGGCACGTCCACCACACGCATGCCAGGCACCTGGTGGTATTCGATGCACAGGCACGTACACACACGCACGCCACCGCGCGCCACCTGCACAAGCTCGCCGCTGCCGTCGATGCACAGGCACGTACACACGTGCGCCACCGCGCGCCACCTGCACACGCTCGCCGCTACCGTCGATGCACAGGCACGTACACACACGCACGCCACCGCGCGCCACCTGCACACGCTCGCCGCTGCACTCGCTTGCCGCCGCCGTCGTCGCACAGGCACAAACACGCGGAGACGTCAATGCACACGCATACGCACGCGCGCACCGTACGTACATACAGACTCATAGTATTTACTGTATTGTTTTCAATAAATATTATTTTTAACATTATTATACAAAAATAATATTGTTGACGATTGCAAATAAATATAAGTAATTTGAATACAAGCTATAATAAAACTTGATTTTAATATAAAGTAATCAGAAATAATTAATAAAAAAACTTAGATCCTAGTTCTCTTCAAAACTACACAGTATGCGACATATCGAATTCAGTTCTAGTAGTTGACTTTGTACAACCGCTGACCGTGGGCAGTAGTGAGATGTTAACAATAGAGATATCTAAGCATTCTGTTGAGCAAAATATCTTGTAATGTAGTTTTTGTATGTTATTTTCAGTGTAAAGACGAAATGAAGCCTTTCGTTTGTGAGCTTTACGTGCGCGCGATTACGTCTGGTATGAACGAATTGGAGAGACTCAAACTGAAAACTGAAAAGGTATGATATGCACAGTTCATTTCATAAAAGTAATCTTGGTCAAACCATTATTTATTATAATAGTGTATCATATTCATTATTTTGCATATTAATTGAGATTGTATAAAAAGATTATTATAATATTAACCCTTCGATCCCCTAAAAAAATCCGATGCAGTCGCATGCGTCCGGCAAATCCCGAGCGGCCGCATGCAATCGCACCCACCCGCAGCGCTTAAAACCATTAAAAGTTATATTTAGAGACTACTTTTCTATGAAAAACTTTGGCATTATAAAATCTATACAAAATTCTCTATATAATAGTCAGGTTTTACTTCATTACAAAAATACTATTGTATTTTGATAACAAAAACAAAACATACCAAGCGAATGTCGGCAGCGTGAAAATCAGAATTGTTTCAATATATATTACTTGAAATTATTTACGTAAAAAGATAATTAATAAAAGATTAATTATATTCGCACAAAAACTCTCATTACAATTTTAAAATAGAATACAATACTAAAACGATAGAAAATTCCAAAATCAACACAATAACATTCACGCGAAAATGGCGTACGAAATTAACGTAGATTATAAATATTTATCCATAAGATAACTTGATTTTATTGCACTAGAGGATAGCAAATTTTATATTGATTCTTGTCAAATTTCGTAGAAAAGTAGTCTCTAAAACTCTAAATATAAGTTTTAATGGTTTAAAGTGCTGTGGGTGTGCGCGGTCGAATTCGACCGCTTAAATTTTGACGGAATAGCGCCGCGGTCGGATTCGACCGCTTGGGGGCTGAGGGGTTAATGGAATTATGAATGATAATAACCTCTGCGAATGAGGTAATTGCTATCAAGCTATTCCTTGTTGTTTTGTGTATTTGATTGTGTAATATTTACAGCGAGTGCCCCTGAGCTGTAAATTTCACAGTATGCGAGCAACCCGGGTTCGATCCCCGGCAGCACCAATGAAATTGTTAACTGCAATTTTATGTGTTGATTTACCAAGTGCTCAGCGGTGAAAGAAAACATTGTGAGGAAATCTGCATGTTTGAGAAATAAGAAAAAACTTTCGAAGACATGTGAAATTCGCCAACACGCGTTGGGGCAACGCGGCGGACATTACCTTGCTCTAAAACCCTTTCACTTGCGAGAGGGTTTTAGGTTAGGACTGTGCCCATCTGTGGGATTGATTGTAACTTTAACTAACTGTGTAATATGTTAGTTTTTTTTTTTTCATATAAATATGTATGCTGGATTTCTTGCTGGTTCTTCTTGGTGCAGAGGTATTTTCTAAACCAGTGTTAAATTCAACATAAGAATGACTTTCAATTAGTATTGTTTATTATCTATATTGAATAAAAAACATTTATTGCTATTGATATGGTGATATTAAAAAATGCGTTTTTGAAAATGGGTATGATTTCGCGGGACATTAGCACTACATCTCAGTCCACTTCTAATAACATAGGCATGATATCAAAGTTTAGGTTTACCATTAATTCCGACCGGGAATATAAAATCCCAGTATTGAGAGTTTTTTTATAATGTATTCATGCGTACATAAACAGGCCTACAACTAATAAATAAGACAACTCAAAAAAATAAGATTGCATTTAAAAATAATATCCTATGAGGCAATTTATGAGGGACGCCTATATTCAGCTACGGACTTTTGATAGGTGGTAATGAATGATTAAAAGTCTAGGTAACTCTTTCAAAAAATTTTTTATTTTAAATTATCTACTATATATTGCAGGAAGCGGATGCTCGCGCAATGGAACAGACCCTAAGCTCATGGTTCACACAACTAGGGACGCTGCTGTCGAAAAGCGTTCGGTTGAACTATGAGTGCGCTCTAACTGCGTTCTCAGTTCATCCAACATCGGTGATGTACGAGCGAATAGTTTCAGCGCCTACACTGCCCTCTGTAGCCGCTACTACGGTTCGTAGTTAACACAGCCATTTCTACAGAAACAACCTTATCTAACAAAAATTTACTTGGACTAGTTGTTCTGTTAACTCAATACTGTATCGCGGGTAAGTAAAGAAAAGTACAGCGTTTATATGTTCCATTGCTGGATATAGGACTCTCATTTCTGATAGGGTTATATCGTCGGTACTGTGTCCAAACATCATCTGGATACAAGAAACACAAATTGTTAGTTATTTGTATGATGTGCACTTTGCCTATCTCGTCATAAAAGCGTTACATCGGCACGGGAAAGGACCAACAAAAGTGACTGTGTATGTATTATGTTAAATGTGTATGTATGTCTTCTGTGCAGCTGTTAGCCGCGGTCGAAAACATAAAGAAATACATCCAGCAGACATCTCGCACCTTCGACACTGCTACCGGTCATTGGTCTGGCTATTTTACGTCTGGTACTGTGATTGTTATGCTTGCAGCATTACAAAATAATCTACTTCCCCATATTATACCGTGGGTGTCAGAGGCAAAAAAGGAAGCTGAAAAGGGAGATATGCAGTAGCGCTTTCCTGATAACAATAATAATCAATAAATGTCTCTCCTATTAGATAATCCATGGTTGAGACTTATGTTTAGTAGTGGAATTTTATAGGCTGTTATGATAATATTGATAATGTTGATGATGATGTCTGTGATTTGTCAAGACCGCCTAAAGGCATTTTTTTCTAATTCGTTAGAAATTATACTTAACAGTTATCTGTTCAATAGTGAGAAGCTATTACAGCTCATGGACACTTGCAACAATCTTACACATTAATGTAGCAACAACATCTCTATGTTGTTGCTACAGATGCATTGTTCATACTGATGAGGAAATGAAATGTCCCACAGTCTGCAATATAAATATATTACCTGTATGGATTTGTCCAAATTGTTTGAAGTTTATCAGTTTAAAGAAAATAAACATATACAACAAACGAATTGTACACAGCATCCCATAATTTTTGTATGTTAATGTAGCTAGTAAATAGTGTAGTAATTGCTATATTGTACATGGCTCTAAAACATGTAAATTATTATTAAATATTGTTTTAAGGAAGTACAAGAATCTGCATCAGAGGCTAATCCGGAGTTTGGTAGTTGGGCGACAGACAGTTGTACTAAGACAAACTTTGTGAAAACATCAGAAACATTGAACATCAAACAAATACAGCATAATGTAAGTTTTAGTAAACATTCAATATTTCATTGAATACTGTTTGTGTGATTGGTTGTGAAACCCATTTTAAAACATTAGCTATTTAAAAAGTTTTAAAAAAAAGCTTTTTTTTTTAAATTATAAACTGCTGGCGCCTAAGCATTGTCATGCTATACAATATGAGGCGACCTCTTGGCCGTTTTTCCCTAACATTTTCAAAGACAATGGGCGAACAAACGGTGATGTATTACTCAGAATTAACTATCTTATTCTCATCAAGTGGGATTCGGCAGACAGGATCAGGAAAAAACCGTGAATTTTTAAATACTGATGAATTTTTTTTTAAATTTGATATAACAATACCCAAATGTCCTCCAATCTCCACATAATTGATATGTCGGTTTTGTTCGGTTAGTCGTCTGACATTAGCAACATTTTCTTTAGTAATCGCAGTTGTGGGTTAACTTTCACGAATTTCGTCATGGAGAGAAACACGGTCACGGCCTTAAATTAGGTATTATTTCCCTGCCAATAGTACGAAAAATATCAGTATAACTTTGCAAAGAGAGTGAATATTTGAAATCATAAAAAATCGTCGCTCTGAAATCTTTTATCATCATTATTTTGCATGTTATATACAAATTTAGTCGAGTTTCTTTTTTTTTCAGGCAAATGTGCTGTCAACTGCAGTCCTTTCTGAAGGAGAAGCTTTAGGCCTTGGTGCGGAACTTTGTCAGGATTTAGCTGTCTTGCTCTCTGGACCAAGGCATAAAACACTTTCTTGGGATATAGACAGGTACGTTTTTATACTATGTTGATCTTTCATGTTGAAAAGAATGAGCATTGCTAATATTAATGTTACTGCTAAAATTATTCCAATTAATTCTGATCAGAACAAAGTTAATAGTTAAATGTTAAAGGTAGTCCAGGTTAATTATGACATCAGGATGTCAAACACCTCGGTCCAGTCCTCATGACAATAGATGATTTGCAAGTTACTTGAAGGATAGGAAAACATATTTTAGGTTTAAATTAACATTATATAATTCTTTGGAATTAGTTATTAAAATGATTGATACTGGTGGTTGCCTTGTTATGGAAATTCGATTGTAATTTATTAATTTTTTAAGTTTGTATATTGAGCAAGCTGATTTTCATTTTGAACTGCACATTAAAACTGACATCTTATACTTGTAGAAAATATGAAATAAACGCTTTTTTGCCTTGGTGCCAACCCTTGATGTACACTTCACAGACTGTTGAAGAAGAAACATTTGAAGTCATACAATTAAGTTGTAGTTATTTGTTGGCAACATTTTAAAATTCTTTGGCCATAATTTCTACTCTGTGCGCTATTTGCATATAAGTATAATTTAATGGCTTTATTCTAAATAATCTGTGGTCTTATGTGTTTAATATTGGCAGTATGAAATGTAAACTCCTCTATATATATTTTATTTATGCCTATTTTCACTCCTCCGTGCGTGCCACTTGCTTAAAAAGGGGTGGAAAAATTTCCGTCACATATTAATATATATAGATCCCATTAAATACTCAACTCTATCATCGGCTTACATGTGTGGTTTGTAAAGAGACTGTTCACGACAGTAGTCTAATGGTGGATTTGGAAATGTCGTTTTGGGATACACACTCCATATTCTAAATCATGACATTACTCTGTCACTTCAGTAGGTAATAGTTTATTGTTAGCATAATTAGCATTTTGATTAGAAATTAATTTTAAATTTTAAAAGAAGCAATATTTTATCGTACTAAAATAATTTTCAGAGACGTCTTATTAGAAAACTGTAGAACATACATGGAGCGCACACATGGCGGTACTCGCGCTTTAACGACAGAACTCAAGTACCTGAACCTTGATCCTAGCTCCTTCATGCATTTGCCAGAAGAACAGGAAGATGAAGACAATATTTATTATGGGATTGAAAAAGGTAAACCCTACCCTAACTACCCCGACTGTTTTCAACTTAGAGTAATTATTAAATTGTTGTTATTTTTTGCGTTGTAAGCTAATATTCCAATCAATTGCGAATGTGTTGGACATTCAGTATTTTCGGCTAATTTCTGCTAAAAAAATATGTTATAAACAAATAAGTTTCGGGAATATGCACGTTTTAAAAGTAGACAACTTTGTTTGACTTATTTAGATTTAAGTAATTGCTAGGAAAATTAAAATTAAAAATTACAATTTTATTGCTAAAATTACAAGGTATCAACAAATACTAACTTTTAAGTGCATGCTCATAACAATATGTCCAATTTTTTTGATAATTACTATTAAAAATTTTCAATGTTCGTACTTAAGTAGTTTACAAATATCATTTTTTGTCCTCTTAAGGTTATGAACACTTAGTAGAATATCAAGAGGTTGAAAACATATGGCAAGATGCATTTATAGACCCCGAAATGGGCGAAAGTGCAAATTCAATTAGTATATTTGATATACCTGTGTTGCAACGGAGGAAGAAATATTCTAAACGTGCTCAGCATTATTCTGATGAAGATTCCGATCCACTTTGCGTAATTGCAGAAGAAAAAAGACATGAAAAGAAAAAAGAGAGACCACACAGTAAGGAAAGAAGTAAAGAAAGGATAAAATCAAAGACAAAGGAGCCGGGTCAAGATAGAGATGGCAGCAGTGAAAGAAATAAAGTTAAATCTGAAAGAAAAGAACAGAAAAAGGAAAAAAAAGAACGCAAGAAAAGAGATAAACTTAATATCAGTCACATGTCAGAAACAAGAATTGGCTCTCTTTCAAGGTTAGTAGGTATGAAAGTGACAAGGGTAGAAAATGTACATCCAAAAATAGAAAATCAAACAAGCTGTGATATTATTGATTATTCCAGTCAAAGAAAATTGTCTGTAACATCATTAAATTCGGATGGTAGTGAAAATAATGTGGTATTTGATGGATTGTACTCCATGGATGAAATTAAATCTCCAGAAAAAGTTGTTCAAATTACTGAATCCCTCAGTAAAACCCCACTTTTCAACAGCACTGATTTAGCATGTGTAAAAGATGTATCAGTAAATAATAATCACAAATTAGACATGGATATAGCCAATATTCAAAGCAGTGCAATTTCCTTAATAAGAAATCCTATAACAAACATTACTAAAACTGTAACTGATAATAATTGTATAAATGATGCAGACAGTAAGGATAAAGATACAAAACAAGTAAAGGAAAACGTCAAACAGAACATTAAAAAGCTGATTCAATTCAGAAAGTTAAAATGTTCCAATAATGAACAAAACATCAAAAATGAACCCAACATCCCTAATGAAATACAAACTTTACATTCTGTTAAAAACTATGTAGTACTTCAAAAAAGCTCTAAGCAAAAGAATGTCAAAGAGGTATGCCCTACACCAACTAGTGTAAGTTCATCATTGGAAGCAAATTTAAATATACCTAAAATTTACATGAACAAAAAGCAGTCCGAAAAGTTGAGGGTATTAAAAAATGAAGTTAGCAACGTATTAGTCAAAAATAATAAGTGTAATACTTCTTCTTCAGCTCATCTCAATGAAAGTTGTGTTGGAAAAGTTGTTGCTGGTTTGGCACAATACACAAAGTCAACATCAATGAAGAAATTGAAAACGGATAATATTAATACACCACTACCTGTTTTACAATCTGAAAGTCAAAATCTTAATGTTACAAGTACCAATAATATAGTTTTAGATCATAGTAAACGTGGCGAAACACGGATTTTAGTTAAAAATATGCCATGTAACAATTCAACAAATTCAAGAATAACAAACCAAAGTAAATTTAAAGATTTCCTTAAAGAATTGCAAGAAACGATAAATGCTGGTGCGATCAGAGATAAATCAGAAGCAATACTTAGGTTAAATCAAACCTCTATCGCTATAAAAAATTCAAATTCTCTTAATAAAACAGTACCTACTAATTGTGATAATTTAATAATGAATTCCGCTGTTGTGACCCAATGTGCCAAATCGTTGTCACAACAAAAGAAGGTTGAAAACGCACCTAATACTTTTGCTCGACTAAGTTATATGCACAAAAACAAGCAAAGCGATGTAAGACCTAAACCAGCTGTATGCCAGGCCAAGCAGATTCATCAACAAAAGCAAACATCGTCTGAATTAGATCAACAAATTGCTGACTTCAAACTAAATAAGTTTCAATACCTGGAGGCTAAAGGTGTAACTATTTCTAGAGTTGGGAACCCTATAAAAATCAACAACCCCAAAGATGCTCAAGATATATGTAAAGAAAAGTCAAGATCAAATTTTGCCGAAGGGCATCCGGTTTTGTCTAAAATTTTACAAGTAAACGAAAAAAATGCTTCTAGCAAATCTAAATTAGACGTCACTAAAGAACTTACTAGAGACATCCACAATAGCCGACCACAAGTTATAACAACTGAAACTTCTAAGTCCTCTCTACTAGCAGAAAAGGATCAAGATGACCTATTACTTCTTTTACGACAGAAAAATTGGCTAAATGCATCAAGATCAACAACGAAACCGGAACTTAAATTAAACCGTACACCACAGGCCATCACAGAAATGAATCTTGCCTTTCAAAATTTTGTTCCAAATTCAAAATCTCTCGATTTATCATCAGTTAAAAATATGAAATTAAGTGAATGCGAAACTCACAGGGACAAATTTTTAAAACCACCGACATCGTCAATTACTCAAAATGATCAAGCAAAACCATCTGTTATAAAAATACAAACATCATCAAGAACATTAATACATTCTTCATCACAGTCATCATATGACAATACAACTACAAGCAGTATATTACATAATACTCTACCTGAAACAAAATGCGATAGTAAAGAATCACTAGTAAAAAAGGAGACAACCACACCAAGGAATTCTTACGGAAATAATACTACAAAACAAGATTGGGAAAGTGTGATGGATGCTATTTTAAAACACAAAACTCCAAGCCGAGGTCCAAACGCCCTTGACATTGCTTTAAATAAAGATTCTTTTGAAAAACGGTTAAAAGAAAGTAATTTGCATAATCAAAAAATTGTAAGCAACAGTTCTGAGAAAAAAGATTACGATAAAGTTTTTGAAAAAGATTTTGAATTAAAACATAAGAAAATTGTTCAAATATCAAAACCTCAACAAGCTAAAACGTTTCGCAATCCTCTATTAAAGTCAGTAAATGTCGATCTTCCAAAAAGGTTAAACAAAAATGTTATTAGCAAAGCAAATATACATCATATGCCTAAGGTACCTAAGGCACCTGTATTACCAAAAAAGGATACTTCTTTTGAAGTTCTTAAAAACCACGACCCTTTTATATCCGGAATACCAAATTCTGATTATGATCTCTTGGAAGAACTGATGGATGATGATTTACGTAAAGAAATTGGCGAGTTGTTATCAGAAGACGAAACCTATCAATCTGTTGCATTAAGTATTAAAAAAGACAACAAACACTCTCTTGCGATAAAAAGTGAACCTAAAACAATAGCTCCATTTCGCAAAGAATTAGGAGTCCAGGGAATTCACGAACAATCCCCTGTTTTAACATGTGATAATATCTGTTCAAATTTTACCAAAGATTTAGGAAAACCGATCGATACTATATCGGTAAAGTCTGCACCAAAGCTATCATGTACCTCTACTTCAAACAATGATCCACATTTAAAATCTCAAGGCATGGTTAACTGTGAACTCATTAAGACAACAACATCTTCACATAATTCAGTCATTGAACCTCGTAAAAAGATCATTTACCAGCCAGCTCAACAAGAAAATATTTCACAAAACAATAATGTTGCTCCTTGTAATGAAATAATAAAATCAAGAGATTCAAACATTTTAAAAATAACAAAGCCAATTGCTGTAAATAATAATGGTGAGAGTGTTCGGATACCTAGTCCTAATAATATTTTGATCAGTAGCCAAAATAGTTATGAAGATTCTAAGAATGTCATTATCGCTACAGTACCTCAAAGAACAACATTACAAAATGTAGTTCTTATTGGTTCAGAAATTGTTTATGATCCATATGCTGCTATACAAATACAAGGCTCTTCAAATACAAGTTTGTGTAATATTAACCAAAATACTTACGTTGCTGTAAATACGATGTCAAACATAGCTTTGCTACATACGACTCAGTTTGCAGCGCCTGTCGTTACACCTGTTATCATTGGCAATGCTGTTGCTTTGTCTGCACCCAATGATGAGGCGCAACAGTCCCTTAACACGAAATCTCTCCTACTAAATTTAAGAAATCACAGTGAATCTTTATCGTCTGTTTCGACTATGGAGCGTCAGAAGGCAAAAATCGATTATACTAAAAGCAATTTTGAAAAGGTAGTAAATGAAAATTTATTTAATGATAAAAAAAATCATGAAAATAAAATGGAAGCAATCACAAATAAAAATAATGAACGAAAAATTTTGTCACAAGTGCAAACTAATCAGAAATTATCGCCTGAAAAGACTGATAGCCGATTTTCAACAAAATTGGGCAATTTAGCTGATCTCAATGTAAAGGTTGAAGTGTCCAAGGAACACGAAAGACTGAAACAAAAACGCTTGGCTATAATAAGTAGACGAGTAAGTCATCATACTAATATTTTACCAATACCGTTACCCTACACTCCATTAAATAAAACGAAACCAAAATATGGTGTTCTCGATGCACATGGTAAAGTTTTTAAAGATAATGCTAAGCAAATAATCACAGAAGGTGAAACTACTTCGTCCTCTACAATCGTTGAATTGCTTAAAGATGATAACCTTTCTAATACCGGTAATGCAAATGTGCAATTAAAACAAATAGAACATTCTGATGAAGATGTCTCTTTACATGATCGAACAGAATTTAAAGTTCCAGGAAATTATAAAGAGAATGATAATAAGTTAAAGTTACCTTGTCGTCGCATAATGTTAAGATCTTCAAAAAACGTCAACGATAATATAATAATGCCTTGTCATAAAAATACAAAAATTCATAAAATAAAAAAAATAAAGCGACAAGTAAAATCTGTATCATCAATATTAGATAGTGAAAAGACATCTAAAGAAGATATTGAAACAAACAAAGTTAAATCTTCAAGTGAGGGTTGTAAACATTTTTCAAATCAAAATAAAAATGTTAAAGAAAACACTACAATTAAAGAGATTGTTAGAAGAAAAAGTAAAGAACATGATTGGAATGTATTAGAGAGCCCGGAGTCGCGAGTTAAAACGGATTTTTTCGATGTAGAAGATCAGTTGGTTGGATCAGTCATACATAAAATAAGTAGGGATCCTGATGAATCACCACACGATAGTACCAGCATTAGTGAGATAAAAAGTGAGAATGAACAAAAAGAGAAAGAATCAAATAATAATTTAAATAAAGTTCTTAGATCGGCCACACCCAAAGTAAATAAAATATCGAGGCATTCGGCTGGATTACCTTCTTATGACACCAGCATTGTTGGAAAGAATAGTGAGAATGAACAAAAAAGAAAAAAACCAAAGAATAATCTAGATAAAGGTAAAGCACTTAAAGTAGTTAAACCTAAAATAAATAAAACGTTGAAGGATTGTGATGGTTTACCTCATAATAACACCAAAAGTGTTGTGTGTGAGACAACAAGTGAACAAGAAGGAAAAGAATCATACAGTAATAAAACTCTTGGTTTAATTATACCTATAATAAAGGAAACATCAAGGGATTCCGATATATTATCTCAAGATAACACAAAAATTGTTCAGATGAAAAGTGAATTGGAACAAAAAGGAAAAGAATCAAAAAATAATATAGCTAACACTCTTGAACCAGATATATCAAAAGCAAATAGAACATTAAAGGGTTCAGTTGAATCTAAAATAAAAATAAAAAGGAATAAACGAAAGGAAAAGGAAATAAAACATAATATAGGCAAAGCTGAGAATCTTTTAGTGAAATCCGTCGACGGAAAACATATGGAAGTAAATGATACAAATTTAGGGCAAAAAATTGAGAATAACAAAACATGCCTTAAATCAGATATAACAGCTTCAAGCTCTGAAAGTTACTCTTATGTTATTAAAAATGATAAAATTGTTACAAAAGTAAATTGTAAATTAAAGAATAATAGTAGAGATATAAAGCAAATAAATAGTAAAGATAATTTTAATGTTTCAATTACAAAACAAATTCCTAAAGACGAGATGCCAAATAAATTAGCGCAAAATAATGATTTATCTGAAGATTGCCAGAAAGATCTTTCAAAAAAATTTAAGGAGAGAGATAATTTACAAGGATTGGATAATCTGGATCAGGTGCTATTTCAAGAGATTATTAATAAACATGAAAATGAACCATACAAAAAATTTTTTCGTGTAATGTTACCCAATGGTAAAAAATTTAAAGCTACTATAACCGGAAAAAATAGTTTTGACGTTAAAAATATTCTGAAACATCCGGAATTAAAATCAATATTACTAAACAATTATTTCAAATCGAATAGTTGCACTCTGAGTGTTAAAAAGAAAGGTAATACTGAAGATTCAAAAATGACATTCAAAACTACTCAGGTAACTACACACGAAACCAACAGCACTAAAAGTGTAAAAGAAATGGAAACTATTAGCTTGATTAGTGATGATGAAGGTGAACTTCTTACTCAGCACTTAAAAACAGAATATGGCAACTTTTTAATTGCCCCTTTGGATAAAAATACATTTTCAAAACATCAAAAGAAATTATCTGAAAAATGTTCAGTGCTTCTAACAAGGAATAGCATTGACCAGTTTGATGCGTTAGAAAGTAATTGCAAAATTCGAGAAACCTGTGGCTATTCAGAAGAAAGAAATCATTTTTTATCGCCGAATAGCTTCAAAAGTGATGATATAAATAATGAAGTACCTAATGCCCAAACTGTTCCTCTTTCATTATCTTGCAAAAGTGTTGCGGAAGTTGTTGCAGAAGATTCCTCTGATATAGTAGATAAAACTTCTATCAATTCACCACTCGAGGACACTATTATTAAACCTAATTTAAACGATATTGATAGTGTACTATTAAAGAATGATTGCATACATGACCAAACTAAAAGGGAAGTATTTACAACCAACGAGCTTGAATTGAATAAAAACGTAAAAGATATGGAGCGAACACCTTTAAAAGATTTTCTTAACCCTGTCAAATTATTAAATGAGTCCGCAAATAACTATGAATGCTGTTTGAAAATAACCAGATGTGATAACTTAGTAAAAAAGTTAAAAAACATCAATACGGAATGTTTCGTAGAACTTACTAGATGTGATGATATTTTAAAGGAATGTCCTAAAAGGAAAACATCTCATAATGTTGAAAGTACTGACGATGATAGTATAAAATCTTATAGACCAATTAAAGAAAACACAGCTACGAATGATTTTTTCAATACAGATCCAACGGAAATTGAAAATAATTTTGTGTCTGAATCGAAATTGGTACGGAGTGGATCTTTTTCTATTTTAGATGATTTTTCAATGTACATCGAAAATACGGACGATCTTAACGCAGAGCCATCTATTGTCAAGGAGTTATCCGTCATTTACATTGAGAATGAAAACAAGTTTCATAAAAACGTACCAGTAGCTTTTAAATGTGACGCAGATTGGTTCGTGACAAAAAACCAACTGTTCTATTTGCACGCAATGAAATATTCAACCGAATTTTCGGACTCTGATCAAGATTTACATCATTCAAACATTGAAAATTTTGATGATGCCTCAACGGATTGTGGAAGCGATACTGAGTGTTCGGTAGTGGATATTTGTGACTTATCCACAAGGCAACAATTTGAATTCGATAAAAGTTTACCAGCGGTTTTCATATGTGATGCAGAATGGCTGGTGACAAAACGACAGTTATTCTTACATGTTAAATATACTGATGAATGTTTGAACACAGATCGAGATTATTGGCATTTGCACACTGAAAATAATGTTGAAGTTTCTATGGATTTTGAAGGTGATAGTGAATGTTCTGCTGTGGACATTTATGAGCAATCTTTGAATGATATTCGGAATATTGAAATAAATAAAAGTTTACCAATGGTTTTAAAATGTGATTCAGAATGGCTTGCGACAAAACGACATTTGATTTTACATGCTCTAAAATATTCTGATGAATGTTTAAACACAGATCGGGGTTTGCGGTCATCGTACACTGAAAATAATGATGATGTTTCCGCGGATTTTGAAAGTGATACTGAATTTTCTGGAGTAGATATGAGTAAGTTATCCGAAAACGAAATTCAGAATAAATTTATACTGAATAAAAATTTACCAATGGTTTTTAAATGTAATGCGGAATGGCTTGCGACAAAACAACATTTGTTTTTACACGCCGTTAAATATTCTGATAAATGTTTGAATACAGATCAACATTTGCGGCATTTGCAGACTGCAAGCAATTGTGATGTTTCTACGAATTTTAAAAGTTATACTGAAACCTCTATAGTAAACTTGTGTGAGCTATCCACATACCAAATTGAAAATAAAAATGAAGTCAATATAAGTTTACCATTGGTATTAAAATGCAATGCGGATTGGCTTGCAACAAAGCGGCAAATCATTTTGCACGCTGGTAAATATACGGCTTCAAGTTCGCACACTGATCAATGCGTGCAGCATTTGCATAGTAGTATCACAATGTCTACTACAACTCAACGTGTTGTAGTAGACAGTTTTAAAACAAACCAAGATATTAATGTTTGTAATTCTGGTAGTTTGGAAAACGTAGAAGTTATGAGCTTAAGAAAATATATGATAAAATTTTTCGAAAATAATGCAGTGCTCGACATTTTAAAACCCACTCCACAAATCAATAAGAGAGTTACACAAGGCAAATTTAATTATCTTAAGAGAAAACTATCACCTAATGAAAATACATCTTCAATAAATAAAATCTCAAAAATTTATAGTATAGAATCTGTACAGGAAACAAGTTTAGTAACTAAATTACCAGAATACAAATTACAAGTTGATACCAAGGATAAGGTCACAAACACTGAAAGTATCAATAAAGTTGATCAACTTGTAAAAGGTATTGATTCAATTACGTATACACATGAAAATAATGAAGAAAACAATTGCCTTAATTCACAAATGGGCCCCATAATTACTAAAGCTGCAACAGTTCATGTAATTGATGCAAGCAATAAAAATCAAGTAGATGAAAAAAATATAAATATGTGTTAGACAACGCAAAAGAAACTAATCTTACAGGTAACGCCAAGGTTGAGGTAGTGCTTAATAATTTTATCGATAAGAATATGTGCGATGACTCTAAACAAAAGCTTACGATAGGTGTTAAGAATGATAAGAATGAACTAGCTTTAAATAGTGAAATAAGTAATGTAGAAAGCATGTGCAGTAAAACAGTATTTGATACAAATGATCCATCGTCAACAACAACTACTTATCAGCAAAGTATTAAATGTCAAGATAATTGTCAAAATAGTTCAAATGAGCTTATTAACATATCAAAAGTAATCACCAAAGATGATTCTATAAAGGGAAGCTATAAAGTACTTGATATAAATTCAACAAATACGAGTAATATTATTGGTGAATGCATGCATAAAAAAATTCTTAGAAAAGCTTATTATTCCCATGTCGAAGACAACAACGTTCCTGCTAATTATTCTGAAAAGCTTATTAACTGTGCTGAAACCACGAAAATCGTGGAAGAATCTTTAATAAATAGCGATGAAATAAAGCAAAGAGTGTACAAATTGTCTAATATAGATACGCAGCAAAATGCAACACCTTCCAATAATATTACTAATTCATCAACAGCCACAATGATAGCTGACAATAAAGACTATTGCAAGAAATTAGAAAGTACTATCAGAGTTTCACATAAATGTAATGAACTAAGCATTAACTTAAAAGAAGACATAGGTTTATCTAAGAAACCCAAAACTTTAGATAAAAATGTAAATGACTGTTTAAAGCTAATATCTCATCAATGTAAAGAAGAACAAGAGAAAATCTTTCGGGACTTAAGATGCTCTGAATCAGTACATGATGATTTTAAGGGCGCAAAACTTATACATCATATTAGAACATTGAAAACGAATGAAACTGGTAATGATATATCGAAAAAAAGTGTGGCAGAGGAAAATATTTCTTTCGCATATGGAACAGAAATTTCGCAACTTTGCCAAAATGAAACTACATATGTAAAAATGGACCATGATTATGAAATTAAAAATGAGTGTAATATTATTGTTAAAGATGAAGCAGTGGATGAATGTAACCCAAATAATCTCTATGATATTTCTACTGAAAACAATAGTCTGATTAAGATAAAAGATGAGAATGATAAATCGAAACAATGTATGATGGAGGAAAATATTTCTTTCGCATATGCGACAGAAATTTCGCAACTTTGTCAAAATGAAACTACATGTGTAGAAATAGACCATTATTATGAAGATAAAAACGAGGGTAATATTATTGTAAATGAAGAAGTAGTCGACGAATGTAACCTAAATAACGTCTACGATATTTCTACATATGAAAACAATAGTCTGATTAAGATAAAAGATAAATCTTTCATTCAAAATGATTCCACCAATGATGGAAATAACCAAGACTATGAAATTCTCGGAAACATAGAAAATACTAATCTTATTGATAAACAAATTGTTAATAAAGGTACTAATGACGCCCCACGTAAAGTAACTCTTGTTTATAACGGTGAATCTGAAGTTGTGTTAAAAGGTATAGAATATGAAGACCCCATAGCTGGAACTTGCTATATGTTTCCCTTGGAAACAAATACCGTTTTTTCTGAAGAGGTCCCCGATGATGATCGTATATTAAAAGGACAACAAAAAGAAAAACAAAGTATCAATAATGAAGTTAACGAAGCGCTAACTTCTACTGACATAATTAACACTGAGTCACTGTATGACGAAAATTTCTCTGTTTTGGTACCAAAAATGACATATTCAAAAAAGGATAAATTAAATAAAAGTGCACGTCGAAATATAGAAAAAGTGGGTAGAAGAGGCATTAAACGCAAAAGTGATTGTCTGGATTGTAAAATGAATGAAAAACGATACAGAAAAAGTAAGATTGATTACACAAAACCGCGTGTTTCAATACATGATACAACATATTGTAAAGAGTACAAACGTCTCTTTGATTACTATAGTTCCTTAAAATTTTCTTACTCTAGACCATTTCACAAAGAATATATAGATGTTTTTAGTATGGTCAAAGCCTGGCCTATAATACAAGAATCGTATCATGTACCATCTGATTCAGAGATTGTTGATATTTTTTGCGATAGTGCTGAACAGATTTGTTTTCCAGATCCTATGAAACAAACATTAGCAGAAGAATTATCCACAGAGTATCTTGAGACCCATTTACAATCTAATGATATGAATGAAACAAATTTCAATATGGGTTTTGGTGAGGGGTCCGGCAGAGTCAAACAGGAGATAGAAAAAGATTGTCCAAAATTTTCGGCTGCGACTCTGTCGGACGTAAAGCATTCTCAGCCGTTTTTACTATCCGAAGATTACGAGGATTGTAAAAATAATTCTGAAATTTCAAACATCTCTGAATCAACAACAAGAGATCAAAAAGAGAAACTAAAACGTTATATAACTTACATTCAGTTACGAGATAAAGTTCGTTCATATTTTAAGAAAACGTCTATTGAATTAAAGTATAACTGGATTAAAGATAACATTAAAGACAAAGATTTTAAATGGAAATGTGACGGAAAGTATGATTTTACAAATTATCCCTTTGACTTTTTGTTACGAGATTTTATTGAACCCCCGCCATTAGAATCTATTGTGCAAGTGGTTCAAGTTGGTCAGCTACCAGTAAGTGCAGCTGCGCAAAACCCTGTTAGTTGTGATCCACGTGTTACTCAGGTTTCAGATGCAAGTCCTTCGCAGTGCTCAGTAGAAAACAGCCCACAGGACGACTCTCAATCTGCTGTCAAAACTGAGTATACAGAACTTACAACTGCTGATCTTACTCTTCCACTTGTTGCTGAATATGAACAACATGATGAAAACATTGCACTAGAATCGCACGAACCTACTAACTTACCAATAAAGGAAGATAATTTACAACCTGAAAAAGAGTTTATATCCAACACTAAAATTGAATTAAAGGAGGTCGCTTGTGATATTGAAGTAAATAACAAGCTTAATATTGAAAACAGAGAATTACATGTGATAGTGAACAAACACGTAAATGATTCTGATTATCATTTCGAAACAAATAATACTGGATCACTTGAATCAGATTCACGAACGACGTTGTTACTCGAGTCTACAAACAGTCAAAATTCTACATCAGAGAAAACAGATCAAATAGCCCATGCTATGAATGCTGCAGGTATTACAACAAATGCCGAGACAAATTCGAGAGCAAATGCATTAGTTAACATTTTGTCGCAAAAAGTCCATCAAAGTGCTATCACAACCACTCAGAGTTCCATGAGCAATTTTTCTAAAACAACATCGATTAATGCTGTAGCTTTACAGCAGGCTTTAGCCCAAATTCTTCCTCCTCCTTTAAATCAAACGAATAGTTCCGATAATAATCAACAAGCTCATAATTCGACAGTAACGCCACAAGTCTTACATATTGTCCAAGGCAAAAACGCTACGGGAAATCAAATTACTTTGGTTGACAATACTCAACCATCTGTCATTAATACACCAAATGCTACGCCTGTGTTACATATTGTACAAAACAAAAACTCGACCGCAGGTACGAATTCTAACGGATCACCAGTGCAACATACAAATTCTTTTGGTGGACTTTCTTTAGTAGATACCGGATTGCAGCAAGGTGGCAATCAACTTCTTCATATTGTAAATACTGGAAACCAGAAGAACAATAATACTAGTCAACTTCTAAAACGAGTTAATCTACTTACAAATCTTACAAATGTTCAAGGATCAAACGAACAAAAAATGGTACAATTCGTATGTAAATCTGCTGACGGAAAAGCGATACAGTTAAACGCACCTCATCAGAGAGGTATGGTTTTAAGATTGCAGCCTATTGAATCCACAAATGTTCAAACCACCCCGACAAAGGCGGACGATCTTAGTCCTACAACCAATACCACAAATATTGTGTCTGCTAAAGAAACTACTACTATTCAGCAAGAAATTAAATCTAGATCTGTTTACGAAGAAAATTATGCAAAATTTATTCAAAATACGTCTAATAAACAATGCAGTCCTGAAAAGTCTACAAGTCTTCCAAAATTTAATCAAGCCTTTGGCAAGCCAGTATTCCAAGATGGAAGTCAAAAACAAAATGAAATAAGCAATAATAATTCACATTTATCATCGGTGAACTCGGCAGCTGATAATCCCGAGTCAGAAACATCCGATAACGCTATAACCCTAGACCACATTGGACAAATAAGCAGCCCTCCATTATTATTACGAAAATCATCTCAAACTTCGCAAGCACAACCTACTCTAGTTCAACAGATTAAACAGACTATTACCCCTATGAACATTCAAACAATGCACGGTGGTGTTATTTATACGAGACAAATACCTGTAAATATTGGTGGCGGACAAACTATAAATTTAATAACGGTACCCAGTACCGACTTGATCGATGAGACGAATCAAAAGCAATCTGACGTCAAATTTGTAAATCAGGGTGACATTGAACCTTCAATAATAAAGATAGTACCTCAAAATCAAACAACTTCTAACACTGATGTCTCATCTGAAGAAGGTAATAATAATAATAGTGGTGGCATTTCAAATGACAATGGTCAAAACACACAACCACCACCCCAACCAGTTTTGACCCAGATGCGAATTAAATTGCCAATGTTAAGTAAAACACCGCAAATGGTTTCTGGTGCAAGAGTTGTTAGACCCTCCTTTTTTCAAATTCAAAGAAATGTCATAGGTGGAGCTAATCAACCCGTTTACCAGCAGTTAGTGTTAACTGCCGCACCGCCACTTGGCCAGCAAACAATCAGGTTACCACAATCACATCTTAACAGACAAATAAAAGTTCCTTCGGAAACTCAATCGTCATCTGAATCTCAAATGAGCTCATCAACTCTCGAACAACTAAGGGAATTCGACATGGTACTTGAGCAAGTCAAGGAAAGAAGTACTGTGCAACCAAATTCTAATGGGAATGGCCCTTTTTCAAAACTCCACACTTCACCAAGTGATACCACCGATGGTACCGGGTCGCCGTCAACAGAACCTACGCAAGTTCTTTACTCAATTGGAACTAATCAACATTTTAATGTAGCATATGTTAATAGAAAACCTACGGTTACCACTACACCGGCAACATCAACATTTGTGCGATCTCCAGATTCATCAACTATCAATGAGTCTCCTTCTTCGTCTTCGCATGCCCAGATTTCACAATCGACTACTACTGTGACATCACCGAATGGCTCAGCTATTAACCAACAAAATCAACATAAGCCCACGAAAATTGGTTCCAAATCTAAATCAAGACCGAAAGCCTCTTCAAATCCACCTAACACATTAAAATTAAACAATGTTCCTCCAAAGACTTCTACACAGAAACCTCTAGAGGACGAACAAACGACGCAACGAATTTTATACATATTAGCTGAATATAAAGAACAAGTTGAGAATTCACCAGATAAAGATAAACCAGCACCTCGTAGACGGACTAACCCACCTTCAAATTCTTCGGGTTCTTCAAAGCGTAAGAAGAGCTCAAGCAGTTCACGGCGTCCAGGAGCACGTGATATGAGCCCTATACACGGAGAAGAAACCTGCCGTACGATGGGATCTGAAGACAGCAGTTGCGGAACGTCGCAAGGAGATTGTAATGAGAGTTGCCTAGAAAGCCATTCCCCCCAAGACAGCCCACAAAAAATTGTAAGGAAACTGACATTTGAAAATGAAACACCAGCAACCCAGCCACGACCCCAACCACAAAGAAATGTTATTGTGGCAGATGGGCAAACTATTACTGTCGCCAGAGGAACAGCTGGCAAGCCAGCTACAGCTGTCCTAATGCCAGCTAATTATATTCTACCGGTTTCAATGGTCAAAGGTGGCCAACAAATCGCCATAGTTACTAACCGTGGTCCGAAACTTCTGACCGTTGGCGGTGGTGAAGGTGGAACAACTAATGCTCTGTTATTGCAACGTCTGATTGGCCCTGCTGGATTGAAGCCTGTTTTAGCTCGTCCTGGAGTTCGTCATGTCCGTTTACCAACAGCAGCGTTGCACAATCTTCAGACATTCAACCTAACAACTGCTGCTACTACAGTCCAACCGCCTGATAGCACAGCGTCGCCTGCACCGGCTCCGACTCCAGAACTTGTTGAAACTAGAGCGACAACATCACCTTGGGCCGAAAAAGAGGTTCAAGATGTTAAGCCGGAACGTGGTTCGAGTCCTGAAGGGTCTGAACCGTGGAACCTTCCATCATCAGCTGACCCTCATGACTACTCATATGAAGAGACTGTTCGAGCCGACAGCATTGATCGTACAGTGCTCGTAAGTATAAACTTGTTATTATATTACTTTGATTTAATTATAATCTATGTATGTATTTATGTAAACACTGATGTTATGTTAAATACAATAAATCAAAATTTGGTCATTTCTAATTTGAAGAAGTTTTACGAAATGGTTAATTTTGTTCATATATCAAAATTAAAACAATGAGTTTTCAAACAAAATAAGTAATATATTATGTAAAATTAAAAATAAACACGCTTTAAGAGCGTGGCGTTTTTGATCGCTAATACGCTGTTGTGCGCTATAGCGCCTCTAGAATTTTTGCGTAAATCGGGACAGAAAGTCGAAATAGCTTTCTTTTCATTTAAAGACAAAGTTAATTGGCCCCACCAATCTTTCATTATGTGCAAAAGTTACAAAAACGATATAAAATTCCCGTGACTTAACTTCTGAATGTATTTTTTGTGTACGATATTAAACACTATATAGATATACTAATATAATTTATTGTGTTTAACTTAGCGCCAACCTGTTATTTTCTTTTTCTGAGGAAATATGTTATTCGCCTTAATTCTTATTACTGAAATACCCAAACCATCGTGAATCGTATATGACGAACATTTTGAAACTTCAGGATCCGATCCCAGATCGATACAGTCCCGATATGGAGGCGCAAAGGATATTTGATAAGATGTTCGACGTAGACTGTAAAAAGTCGTATATCGTCGATTCGCAAGACGATTCGCCGCGTTGCGGTTATGATATAGACGCGTCAGATTGCGACGATAAGGCCTACCATCAGGTGATCATAACGTAGAATCGTCGCTGCCCCTACTGATTTAGATCTGCCTCTTAAGTAGACCTGCACGCCTCGATTTGTTTTATATGCTTTCCTCTTCGTTACGTGTTGGTTTGCCGATAAGACTGCCAATATTTGCGACATTTTTGTATTCACTCAAGCTGAAATATAATTAAGAGTTAAGACTGATCTATAAATGCTTATATTAAAAAATATACATGTGAGCTTGTATCTGCTTACTTGCTTATATTTACTCACAGTGTGTAAAGACAATCATTAAATTCGTATATCTTATAATACGAATTAAAATGAGCGTATTTTCATTAGCGAATAACACAAAGGTATCGAAGCTGACTAAATTCATTTACATATTTTATAGTAAAATGTCGCCTCTTATTTGCGTTGGTATCTTATGGCGTCCTCCACAGCCAACGAAGAAGAAAATCAATTTATTACGTCTCATAGTAAATGTTGCCTCCACTCTCTTCGTTTGAATAGTCGTATCATTTGTTATATTTTAAAATTCCTATTATATTCAAACCTTTTAAACAGCTTCCTTAAAAAAAGAAATAATAAAGTAACGAATTTAACGTTAAAAATGTTTAATTTAATTTTGCATGTTAAAAAAAACGGTTCGTTGTTATTTCTTCCCCGTTATTAAGTGATCCCGCATTATTTTGTGCATGTAATCGCATCAATCTTCATTCTACCTCTAAACTATTTCATTAGTTGTTACCTCTAAGGAAATGAAATAATATGTTTTAGGCTTAAGCGTTGTCGCAGTCATCTAGCCTTTATTATGTCCAGACGTTAATTATTTTCCTCATTTTAATCAGCTTTCTGCTTAAAATTGATATTTTAAAACATTTCAAATATTATTGATTTAAAAAACCTTTGTTTAATAACAATAAAAAGTGGTTTCGATTCTTATCGATGTAGTATGTAGGCAAAATAACTTATTTCAATGTACTGTGTAGGTTGTACAGAAAAAGGATGGTACGTCGCATCGGCAGCACCGCTTAACGCACGTATCCGCAGCCGCTTTGCGACACAAATATGCTATATTGGAACATGAACTTAGATTACAGGTGAATCTTTTACATATATTTTTTTATAGGATAAGGGTGACAAATGAGCACACAGTCCACATGATGGTAAGTGGATGCTGTGGCCCATAGACATTTAACGTCGATTAACCTTTTGAGCGCCAAAGTCGCCTACACTTGACCAGCACCTGCGAGCTCTGATCGCTAACGACGTCTATAGTAGACAAAAAACCCGGCCCACAAAAATATGAAATATGGATATTGGAAAATTATTACTGAAATTTTAATTCTACACTTCTCAAAAAAGAATAACCCAACAACATGTGAGTATAAAAAACAAGTCTCCTAGACCCACAAGTACTAAGAAACATTGAACTAAAAAAAAAATGGATTTTTATCTAAGCAAATACCATGTCCAGCACGCCAAAGTCGTCTATGTTTGACCGCTAGTGTTGTAATGTGTTAGGCATAGATTTATTGAAAACTATCCAAATTTCAGATCAAAACTATCAAAATTAAACGCAAACGTGTTATTTTTTTAAATTATTGTTGATATTTGAATAAAACAAAAGGTAAGAAACGTAAAACTAGCGTCAGCTACATAAATAAAAGAAGATTTGATCAAATCAACTTCGCATAATAAATCTAATATCTCAACTCTGGCGCATCCTTAGCGCGTCATCGATTATCAGTTCATTGGGCGCCGTGGTCAAGGATAGACGACACCCTGATGACGTCATAAACGAATAGCGGAAAAAGTAGTGAAGTGCAACATGAACTATTCCTCAGAATTCATTCGCATTTTGGAAAGCGTCGATGATGATGAATTTTTTTATTTTAATAATACAAAATTACAAATAATAAATGTTTATTTTTTCTTAAGGTATGAAGAGCAATTTTACATTTTGTGTTGTGCGATTATCTTTCTCAATCTAGGGTATTGACTGAAACATCTATTATATTTGCTGATGACATTTCCATTCTTATTCCGCATACAAAAGACCAGAATTTAAATAATAAATTGAATCAAGTATTGAACCAGGTTACAAATTGGCTGACACATCACAACCTAGAGATTAATTTTAATAAAACCAAAATTATGCAATTCCGACCAGTTCAAAAATCACGACTAAATATCGCTTTTACTTATAATAATATACCTATAGGAACTGTTGACAACTTCAACTTGTTAGGCCTGGAAATCGACTGCCATATAAACTGGAAAGCCCATATAAATAAAGTAAAAAATAGACTATCAAAATTCACTTACGTATTACGAGAAATAAAGAAAACCACAGATGTCCCCAGCGCTCTGCCAGCATATTACGCATACACATCTTTGTGACTGTCATACGGTGTCGTGTTGTGGGGAAAAAGTAAAGATGCACAGCAATAATTTATAATGCAAAAAAAAAAATTATAAGAATCTTGGCAAACATAAAAATTCCAGAAAGTTGTAAGGCCCACTTCAAAAAGTTTAAAATTTTGACTTTGACCTCTATTTATATTTGGGAAACATAAAATTTGTAAAAAAAACCACCCAGAACTATTTACCAAATGAAGTGAAACAAATTACAAATACTCAGACCAAATAAAAATAGGCTACTATTACACAAATCTACTCTTGCTTTGCATAGCTCTAGTGCCTACTGTATGGCAGTTAAAATTTTTAATAACCTTCCAAATGGCATAAAACATTTAACGAGTACTATATTATTTTTATCCAAATTAAAGTTATATTTAATTGAAAAATATTTCTATAATTTAAATTTTATTATTTTAATACAAATATTATTTAATTTGTGTGGGCAACTTCGACCTGTGCCTATATAATTTAATAAATTTTTTTATTCAATAATTATTTTTTACTTAATTTTATTTTTATTTCTATTAATAATTATTATTTTTTTACTTGAAATTGTTATTATGAATTTAATTAAATCTACAGAATTTTAAAATAATATAATCTAATAATGTAATTTATTAATGAATCTAATATTGTATAGTTTAAAAATAATATTTAATATTTTTATAATTGCGACGCCCAAACTGGTTTCAAATGCGGACAATTTTTTTTTAAAAACATCACATGTATTGTTACCATTTGATTGATATAAAGATTATGATTATGATTATCTCAAAATCATCAGCATCATATCAAACCCCCATTGTCATAAGAGCGTAAGACTTATGTGCTTCACTTGGCCTACGCCTCACCCGACACATAAAATATTTTGAGTCGATCTCTGTATATTTTGGTTAGATCGATTTTGAAATCGATACACAACGTGCGACACGGCTACATTTATGTACAAAGTACATATATAAAAAGAGTGGAAGGACAGCACAAGATTAAATAATGCATACCAGATTATAAAGAGTCATTTATTGCATAAAAAACCAACAAAATCGAGCTATTTTGTGTTATCGATATATCAACTCTTGGCAACACAATTTTTTTCTAGGTAGGTATTTTTGTTTATTTTTCGCTTTGGCGTACAGGACACGGTAATGCGTTTTTGGCGCGGCGCTCAAATAGTTAAGAATCAAAATGCAGATGCGTTGTCACCCTTGAGGACTAAGATGGAATGCCCCAATTCCGGTAAAACGGATCTCCGGTTCTCTACTCTCACCATATGAAACACAGCAGTATTAAGTTGTTATTTTACGCTGATATTCTGTGAGAGTGTGGTCTTTCCCCGGTCGACCCGACCCATTCATGCTACAACCATAATATAGCTACTGTGTGGCTCTACCACGTATTATATTAGCAATAGGCTTGAGTAATGTTTAATATGTAGGAGACATGTTGCTGCTATGTTATGGTTGGATCACGAAAGGGTCAGTTCAACCGGGGAAGGACCACACTCTCACAGAATACTAGAACACTAGCTACAGCTTTACGCTGCTGTGTTTCGTATAGTGAGTGATCTTAGTACTTAAGGGTGACAACGCATCTGCATTTTAATTATATATCGAGGATAAATGTAAATGTGTGTGTGAACCATAGCATCCTGCATTTTAATTTTATATCGAGGATACATGTAAATGTCTGAACCATAGGATCCACATAGTATCAACTGTGTGTTCGACACAACACTGTGTGCTCGATTATCTATAGGCGAACGAAATGGACTGTTTACCTCTACGAATCGTTTTCACATAGCAGTTCACCTTACTCTTCGGTCCCACAAAGTGAGCTTGATTTTTTCGATCCATCATTTTATTCTGACTGATTAACAGCCGCATAGATTTCTTGTTATGGGGCGGCTGTTTTTTTCTGAATAGAATAGATTAATTTTTATTCAATATAAATTTAAAGAATACTTTTGACAGTCATTTATGCTTTTACCTTTGGTTTGGAAAAATACATCTGTCTTGCATAAAACCAGCGCGAAACTCAGCGGGACTTATTTTTAAACATTAACTTACAAATGTATTGTACAATTGAATATAAAAACGTTTAGAATTATAATGGTATCGACCTCTTCATTCCTAGGAGTTACAATCAATCATATACTCCTTAATAGTACCTATAATAACCCATATTAAACTACTTTTATTTAATCAAATAATATTTTTTTAAAGATTTTTGACATGAAGGAAGAAATTGCTGACTCTTTGGAGTCGAGTTACTAGTATTAGTAGCTTGTGCTTGTTCAAAGTATTAACAGAATACATCATTCTTTAAAAAAAACACGTTTGTACCACACGAAAATTTACTGTATACATAAGTACATATAACAAATTTTCATAAATCTACTGAAAGGTCAAAGTTAATTTGTGTTAAAGACGCAAGACATTAAGACGCGAACGATCGGGCGAAGGGCCGTGTTTAATTCCATTTAGCTTTCCTACTGGCTGTTTTGATTGCTTTAAAGATTCAGTTATTCGATTACACGATTAAGCAATCGGAAACATACTTTATAAGAGTTTTGACGGATCTGAATTAAGTTGACCACTAATTAAAAAGTTGGAATATTAAAAGTAGGTATAGTAATAAATAATAAGTTTGCTCGATAGAGTGTAATCGATCGGACGTGTGGATAGAACAAAAAAATCCTTGTACCGACATTACAATGAATAAATGTAATCGTTGTGAAAAACCGATAGCTAAAAGAACACCTGGATTAGAATGCAGCAAATGCGAAAAAATTGTGCACGCGACCCAGGCCTGTACTAATCTTTCGACTAAACAGATCGCAGCATTACGCAACGCAGATAGCCTGGAATGGACATGCAAGGATTGTCAACGTTTCACACCGGTAAGAAAATCGTATATTATACCAGAAGAAGAAGAAAAAGTAGAACAAAATGAACAAACTCAAGATCATTCGTATTCTAAGCCATCAATAGACATTAAAAAGTTACTGAAGGATATTTCAAAGGAAGTTGGAGTCACTATAAAGCGCGAATTGAAGCCAATCGAATCTTCTATAAGTTACTGTCACGACAAACTAGATAAGGTGCTCGACAATGTGGATGTTCTAAAACGTAGAATTATGGAATTAGAAACTAAGAATATAACATTAAACAACAAAAATAATAATTTGGAAATAAGAATAAGTGTTTTAGAACAAAAAATAGGAGAATTGGAACAAAAACAATATAGTAACAAAATTGAACTAACTGGTATATCGGGTATAGATAACATTAATCATCATCAAGTAACTAAAATATTAGCATCCAAATTCGATATGGATGCAAATTCAGTTAAAAGTATAAAACAGATAGAAGGAAGAAAAGGAAAGGATTGATATCTGCTACTAGAACTAAGTGATGAAACAGAGAGTGAGAAATGGATCCAAGCTGCAAAAATGAAGATGTTAAAAATTAATGGTATTCTTCCGAATGCGCCAATGATATATAATGAGGGTAAAGATAGAATTATGTTAAGATGCGCACTCAAAAAGGCAAATAAGATAATCTTGTGGAATGCAAAAAAACAATTAGGTTCCGAATACAAGTACATATGGTTTAAAAATGGAAACATTTTCGCGCGAAAAGGAGACAAAGACAAGATCATAACCATTAGGTGCATCGAAGACATCCAAAAACTAGCAAAAAACCCACTATTCAGTCCCAAAATACAGAAGAAACGGAAGTAGTTAGTTAAGGGTAAAACGCAGCATAATTATTCTTATAAGTTATAATAACAACAAACATAATGGATTCTCTCACGAACGTCTCAGAAATAACGACTGTATTAATTTAAATGATTTCTACAAACTTATACCTAAAGGTAAACAAAGTTTCACTTTTATTCATATCAACCTAAGATCTATCATAAAAAACTTTGCAATGCTAAAGGAATGTATAAATTCCAGTAAAATTAATTTAGACTGCATTGCCATAACAGAAGCCAACATATCTAATAGCCTACTATCTATGTTTCATATCGATGGCTATTCAATTCATAGTATCTTAAGAGCTAAAAGAAAGGGGGGTGGGATAATTATTTATGTATGTAAGAACCATAAGTTTGAAATTATAAATATCAAAACTTTACACTTTGAATCACTCATAAGCAAAATCACCACTCAAAATAATCTGCAAACATTCCATCTTTTTATAATATATAGACCACCGAATGAAAACAAACACTTGTTTGTTGAGGAGTTGTGTCAAATATTAAAAGATAATTTCGCTAAACACCATAACTTAATCATATTGGGTGATATGAATATAAACATTAAAGATGTTACACCTATTCAAGAATATTATCTTAGTAAAATGGCCGAGTGCGGTCTAACGTGTGCGGTAACAGATTACACTAGAATAGAAAAAAGAAAAGACAAAATAACTAAAAGTTGTATAGATCATATCTTTGTGCGATCGCGTACGTTAGACCTGTACTCGGGCGCTATTGGTACTGTATTAGCCGATCATCGCATGACCGTGCTAACATGCGTTTTACATGTTTCCTACACGGGATGAATTTAAAAATATTATTTTATATGACAACAAAAAACTTCATAGAATGCTGAATGAAATAGACTGGTCACCGGTTAATAATATGCAATGTCCTATTAATATGTATAAACAATTTTATAAAAACTAATTTTATGGAATGCTACAGTAAATGTCAAATAATAAAAAAAAACAAAGTAGCAAACGAAATAAAGAGATTTGATTTGATTTGGATAAATGAAGACATCATAAATATGTGTAAAATTAGAGATAATTTGTTTACTAAATGGAAAAATGACTCAAATAATAAACTTCTAAGACTAGAATATAATAAATATAGAAATAAAACAATTAAATTTATGGAAAAAACTAGAAATAATTAATATTATCAAAAAATCAATAACAATATGTGTAATCCAAAATATACTTAGAAAATTGTAAACAAACTGTGGCAAAGTTACCGAAACACTAGATGAATCGTTAAATAAAGCATTTAACTTCAAAAGTCAAAATAGTAAAACGATTGCTGATAATTTTGCTACTGAGTTCGATAGAAACTTAAAAAATATAATACCAAAATGTACCATTAAAATGCTATCAGATGATTTGTACACAAATCCAGTAGATAAGTCTATACGGTTTCATAAAGTAAATACAAAGCAAATAATATAATAAAAACACTTAACACAAAAAAGGCACCAGGTGCTGATGGAATTCGTACAATTGACATAAAAGCCATATCAGAAAAAATTGCTAAAGTAATTGTCAAGTTAATTAATAGTAGTATAGAAACAGGTATTTATCCTACAGATCTAAAGCTAGGTTTGGTACGGCCTATTTACAAAAGTGGACGTCATGACGATTACAGTAATTACAGGCCTATTACTATACTTTCAACAATTGACAAAATTATAGAAAAATTCATTTCCAAACAGCTTCACAACTGTTATCAAAAACATAAAATTATTTCGGCATCTCAATACGGATTTCAGCCTAAGAAATCTACTACACAGTTACTGTCAAACTTTACAGACGAAGTAAACAAATGCTTAGATGATAAAAAACATGTATTAATTGCATTCATCGATTTTAGTAAAGCCTTCGATACCTTGAAACATAACATTCTTATAAGAAAACTCGAAAACTGGTGTTAGAGGACGTTTCTTAAGATGGTGTAAAGATTATGTTAGCAATCGATATTTCCAAGTAAAGATAGAAAATAATTTAAGTATTAAAATGCCTATGACTACAGGTACGGCACAAGGCTCAGTTATAGGGCCACTCCATTACTTAACATACGTAAATGAATTAGAAAATATCATTAAAAAATGTAGTTTATACCAATATGCAAATGATACGTGCCTTCTGTCAGAAGATAAAAATGTGTATATCGCCATGCAAAAATTACAAGATGATTTTTCACGCCTCTATGTGGGCTCACGATCTAGGACTTGTAATAAATATACAAAAAACTAAGGTACTGCACATTCATTCTAGTCATATCAAGAATATTATACCAGTAAGCATTATTGCTCATAATCATCTTTGTCTGCACAATATAATAACTTGTTCCTGCGAAAAAATCCCACTTGTTAAGTATCACACATACTTAGGACTGATTATAGATAATAGGATGAACTGGAAGAATCATATTGATTACGTGTGTAGTAAATTAAGGGTAATCCTAGCGAAATTTTATATTATTCGTAATAAAGTTCCATTTAAAATTCTTCTAAGCCTGTATAATGCTCTAGTGGAATCGATAGTATCATATGGTATTAGTAGTTATGGACGAACTTTCCGCACTTACTTAGATAAAATTTACAGCTTACAAATAAGAATTTTAAAATCTATATTGCCTCAACACATTAAGGACAAATATCGAAATGATTACACATACCTTTTCACGTACTGCAAAGTTTTACCCATACATAAAAAGGTGAAATATATGCTTTTAAAAGAATGTTATGAATACTCGATGTACCCTACCCCAAGGAAACGCATTTATAGCACCAGGAATAAAACACGTAATTCACCAATTAGAACTAATAATTACTACGGTAAGAGAACATGTAAATATTTGTAATACCATACATATTATTAAATTTTACACCTACGGAGATAAGAAGCCAGCTAACCGCACAAAACTTGAAAACAAAACTTAAACATTTTTTCGCATAATAAGAATTATATAAATCTATATATATATATATATATATATATATATATATATATATATATATATATATATTTATTTCAATGAGAATCATAACGAGCTGTATCTATCTATGCCAATAATTGTTAAATTGGACAAATAAACAAAACGTGTAACAAAATAAAATACATAAAAAAACTATTCCTTACATTCGTGGACGCGCAAAATAAGATAGTACAGTATATCGGATAAGCGAACAATTGAAGACAACAATCACGTTTTAAGTAAAAGTTAATTCCAATGTCACTTAAATAATAAGCTTAAGTAAATTAATGTATAAGAGCAAACTGTGCAGTGCCAAGACAAACAATAGATGTTTAATGGCACGAAGAAATTGATTTTGTAATTAAAACTGTTACTTTGTTGAATAAATTAAAAAAAAGTGACTTCTAACTTAAGTTATAAATTGATCTTACGGCTCTCTTGTGCAAAACAAAGAGTTGCTGCAACATCAGCTGCATTAACCCCATAGCAAGATTCCATATGACGTTATGCTGTGGAAATAACTAAAATAAACTAACATTGTTGCTGCAACACATATAAGGCTTTTATATTTTACGGCGTACGCTGCTGCTGCTGCTGTTGTGTGTGAGGCATACACGCTACCTAGGTGAAACCTTCGGACCAGACCACATCGGTGCAAGCACTGTTATTTGGCGGCATACATAGGTAAGAGGATGGTAAGATGGTACCCAGACGGACTCCTAGACATAAACGGAGTCCTACCACCTCGTAAAGCAGTTTATGTTGTAATGTTTTATTTGATATACGATGTTAAAAACATATTGTGATTGTTATAGAAATGTAAGTAAATATTTTTGATTGTTATAGAAATCTTTATCAGAGGAATGCGAAGACTTGGGCGTTGACTCGCCATCCGCTTCTGAACTGTTCCCGGAGGCTGAACTACTGTTTGCTGGATCTCCAGCTCATGATCATACACAGGACCAGAATTCGCACCATTCGCACACTCGTAAGAAATAATCTTAAAAAAATCTTAATGACTCGTTTACAATCGTTTGAAAGGAATGTTGTTCACTTGTGAATAGCGTTTACACTAGTTACAAGCTGGCATAGAACACAATTTGAAATATATTTAGTTTCACAGAGTACGAGTTTTATACACATACAAGTTTGGATCCAGTTGAATAGCTACTTAGGCTGAAGCTTATTTCAAAACGACTAATAGTTTTATCATCATATCTCTATACATGTCATTTAGCGATTGAGTTTCACATAAAAGATAAAGTAAACGCTTTTTGCCTTGAATCCACTCCATGCACTATTAAAAAAGGAACATTAAAAATAACGCAATATTATATAAACATAATATACACAGCTCACACTAATATTTGTTACTAATTATTTTGTTACCAAATTTTTAAAAATTTTTGACGACAATCTCTATTCTGTGCGATTGTTTGACCATAGACTATATGTGTTTGACAAATGACATAACTGTAAACTGCTCACACCCCCGCGCGCGCAATTTGTTTAACTATGTTCCTGTCCCGTAAGTGTGTTTATATGAATATTTCGATTGTTTAACTATTGTGTCTTTTTCACAGATAAGAAAATTGTTAAAAAGGAGTGCAAAATTTTCACTTCAGTTATAAAAAAAACACTTCATTAAAAAATATTTTTAATTATTTTATAGTTAAAAATATTTATAAGTGAAGAAACATATAATTATTTTGATTAAATTTTAATTTAAATGCGTCATTATTTATTTTTGATCATTTGAGTAATGAAAATTTAATTTGAAAGTACATAAATTAAAATGTTAAATAATAAAGGTTTTTTTTTAATTGTTAAATTATTGCATATAGATATTTTTCTCAAATATTATAGTTTTTAGCCTTTCGTAGTATATATTTTAAAAAAATTGCTTCGTTTTAGCTCAACCAACTATACTCAGTCAAAGTAGCATACCTCAGCCTGATATGGACGATCAAATCGCTACCGATCAACTGCTGCCTCGCAACGACATACAAGACGACCGTAATGATTTGGACGTGAACCTGGGGCTCGAGGACGTCGGAATCGTAACCGTCAGCGAAGACGGCATGCAGGCGACCATCGCCTTGGATCAGGAGGAGTTTGCGAGGTCGCATCCAAACACCACCTTCCATAGTGAACCAACTGATGAAGGAGAGGTGAGATACAAGTTCTCTGTACGATTAGCAGATTTATGAGTGTGATGTAGATAGAGCTAGTAATATACTCTATACACATAGACTAGTAGGATATACAAAAATATGACACAAAAAATTTCCGCAATAATTTATCTAATAAATATTTATAAACTGAATTTTTTCATTAAAATGCTTAAATAACTGCTTCAAAAATTACATATAATTGTTAAAAAAATTAAAACGTAAATTACTTAAATTTTTAATTTTCTTTTAGTTCTGTACTTTAACGGCAATTGATAAAACTCAATAGACTGTTGCGTTAAGACAGCCTAATGTTTTCAGGTGCAACCCTTTACTATAGCTGGTTTCAAAGGCCGTCACATTACATCGACAATATTCCACTCAAACAGAGCTCCAGCTACAGTCCTAATGACGGCCCCACAGACAACTGTAATATCTCAGGCAACACCTGACAATCCTAATATTCAACATAATGTGAAGTTTTCACACATTGATAATATTATTAGCTCAGCACCAAGCTCACATGTGAATAATTTAAACTTGTCATCAGTACTTGTCAAAGATGATGGCCTGACACGGTTTGACAGTATCCTAACTGACTCAAGAGAACTACACCTATCCAATACAGCATCTGCCATCGTCCACTCTGGAAACAACGCAACACAAGTAATCAGAAGGGTGTGCTATGATGACGATAAACGAGACCCGAGGTTTCTAATTGATGAACCGGACACAATTATAGCTGGAGATGATGCGAAAATGATTGCAGAAGAAAGCTCGAGGGAAGCTACTCTAGAATCTATAACTGGAGACGTTGACGACGATAGATCCTCACCAGAACGCCATGCTGAACTATTTTGGGAGTCAAATTCCGCCTCAGAGCGCTCTGAAAGTCGAAGACCGTTAGACTTTAGCAGTGATAGTGACAAATGCTGCAAGAGTCCTTCATTCGATGAAACAAACTCAACGGACTCAAGTGGTGTGGGCACACATATGAGACTGGACTCTGTAATCAAGGAGGCGAGAGGCAAAGAGCGCAGTGGCAGTGCTGATGGCTCATCAGCGGATGACACTCATCCGCCACTACGCACGTATCCAGCCAAGCGACCGTATTACTCGCTCGAAGGTGAAATGGAGAGAAGTTTATCGGGAAAAACGCGGGCTGGGGAGAGATCTCCGGACAGTTTAGAAGTTAGACGACGAGCATCAGGGAGAGGCGTGGTCAAACGAGGCTGCCATTGCTGCAATGGCTCCCCAGTCCCACCAAGACCTAAAAAACCACGACAAAGGAAACCAACAATGGATTTTTCTACCCACTAAACTTGACATAATGTGATTATTCGGGAAATACAAAATGGCACTATGCCACTAACCAGACTGAGCAATGATCTCATAATACATGAGGTTACAATTATATAGGTGTAATATATAGAAAATTGTTAAAATTGTTTTGTATATAAAATGGTGTAGCTTATTTTCGGCTGATACGTGTGATTTTGTTGATTAGCTTACGTTAAGCCGTTCCTTTTAGATGTTACAGTTATTTTTTTAATTTGTGTAATGTCACCGGTCAGTTCAAAACTTTTATACATGTCTTAATTCATGATAATGACTGTAAAGGAGGCATTGAGTTTTATTGTTATTTTTATTCGTGTAATATATCCATTATATATAATGTATCAATAACAATATGTGATTGTATAAAAATATATTTGTGTAGGTTACCTTCATTATAGGCTAAGTGTTTCCGTTAGTGAATACAGACTATACTCAAAAGTGAATTTAATGTATTCTTAGCGTTTTGCGGGTACGAGTGTTTAATTAATAAATAAAGCCCTTCATGATGACGCTAGACTGAATATTTTCTCCATAGCGTGTTTACCAATTTCATTGGGAGCCAATATTTTCTAATTTTAACTTGTTTTTTTTTGTATACTGTATTATATTTGCATAGTTTTAAGCTACTTCCATGGAAATGCACAAATCGATTGACCGTTGAAAAAGACGATGCGAGCTTTAATCTCGGGCGTTAAATATTTTTGACGATTTTTGTTCATTCGTAAACTGAAACTTTCCGTGCCAACATTCTGGCGGTACTATCGCTTGACTTTACGTTTCCAAAGGGCGTTATCCTGTATCAATATTTTATCAGTAGCTATGTGTTAAGCTAGTGTGAATTTGATATCCATAGTGTAAAAGGTGTAAATAGCATTTGCCCCCAAATTTATGCTTCGGGGACCGTCTAGTCACTACCGTACTCTATGTATATCTTAGTATTTTGACTCGGTGAGCGTATTCACTGGTCACGGCTTTGAGCCGCGAATAATTTCGTGCAGTATTCTACCCGCTTCTGTATATAAAAAGGCAGATTAGATATCGAATATAACTAATCCACATAGCGGCTGTATTTGTGGTAAGAAATATATAAACCGTCTTGTCATTGGCAAGTAATTTTGAAATTGTACATACAGGTGGGGTAAGGGGGTGTTCGAAATTTAGTGAATTTAGCGAGCACGGCCGTGCAATACCGGTCGCATTATAGCGAATTGTAAAAGTATGTTTCATATAAGGGGGTTCGATATAAACAATAGTTCAGAACATTATTTGTAGACGTAAGATATAGAGATATTAGGGTAATATGTTCACAAATAAATATTTCTGCGCGTGCCCCTGTAGTCCGATGTCCCTTGGTCGGAGTGAAATCTTGTCCACACCCCATCTCCGGAGAATACCGACATCTGACTAAAGGTACTGAATACAAGAATAACTGTGTTAAGTGAGCGCGTGACTTAAGTGGAACTTTTTTGAGAAACCTTTGACGTGTTTTTTTCTCTTGGCAAAAGTGAAAAACAGTTTTTCTGCCATTTCTTAACGTAAGGTTCAAATTTTTTATATAATCCAGTATGTTGTTATTGTTCAAGAATATTGTAGGTAGGTTTACCTCCGATATTATTGTCAGACATACAGTATTTGCGGATGCGTTTTTGTTATATTTTTCACTTAGGGAGTTTAAATTTATTAGCTGTAAATTGAACTAATCATTAATGTTAAGGTGGTTTCCTCTTTTTTTTTTTTCAGTAAAATACTTTTTATTTTCGTGATTATGTAAACATTATTTTTAAAAGTGCTACAGACGAAAATGGTCATTAAAACTTATCTATTAAACATTTGCATTTTATTTTTATATCCATTGTTCTGTTGGCGCACGACGAAGCTCAATTTTACTTAGCGAGCTATGAGAGAGTTCCCATGTTGAGAGATTCTTCTCGTAAACTTCGTATTCGCAGTAAAACCAGAGTAACCGACATAGCTCAACGGACCAGTAAGTTGAAGTGGAAATTGGCTGGCCATATAGCTCGAAGAACCGACAACCGATGGGGAAGAAAGGTTCTCGAGTGGGTAGCCTCATACCTGTAAGCGAAATGTGGGTCGACACTTAACTAGATGGAGTAATGATCTGGTAAGAGATGTCGGTGGCGCAGGATCGTGTTTTGTCGCATTTGTTGTAAGAGGCCTATTTTCAGCAGTACTTTTTTATAGGAAAAGGGTGACAAACGAGCACACAGTCCACCTGATGGTAAGAGGTTACTGTGGTCCATAGACATCTACATCTATCCTCTGAATGATGACAATAATATTGTTCTTTCAGTTTTATTTTTCAAAGCGTTTAAATCAAATACATGATATAGATAACTATATCAGTAACTATTTCATCTATTTGATTAGTAGTTACCTGTATCATCATCAGGCCATAAAAGTCCTATGTTTGGACATATATTTCTTCCGTTGTATAGATTTCTTATACGTCTTGTTTAGCACGCCCACAGATCGAGGCCTGAAAGGCTGCTGATCCGGAGACCGATGAAGCTGTAAGAACCGCATAGGCTAAGAACACCAACAACATCGAAACCAGTCGTTGCTTAGGTAGGCGGATGGACGATGGCTGTCTCGCACTTTTGACTACTGGTTGCCGGTCCGGCTATTTACCGTCTAGCGTCGAAGAGTAAACGTAGTGACTATAATATACTCTGTCCAAGAGCAACGAACAAGGCCGCGCGTGGTGACCGTGTTGCTCTAAGTCTAGCGTAAATGAGATGGTTGAACAGTCATCTATCTGACGTTTACGAAACTCAAGTGACGACAGGTAACTGATGGGTTCTCTTCAGCTGTTTAGACTAGGAACCGTGTGGTTGAGGAATGTCAGTAATGCCTTAACATGCCGCTCCTTTCCCTACCCTAAGTTTATTCGGCGGCGAAGCCATACTTAGACCAGATACGTCGCTGGGACCGGCGAGGTTGGTTCTCCGGATACTCTGTTTTCCTAGCCCGATAACCAGGTACTGTGTATATATATATATATATATATATATATATATATATATATATATATATATATATTTTTTTTTTTTCGCTTTGCTGACGATATACAAAAAATGAACGTAATCGGTCCAGTAATTAGGTCAAAAAGTAGAGTTTTAATTTTAAGCAAATTTGAACACTCTATAGAATTGGGTCACTAAGTCAATGATTCAATGAACTTGAATCCTTGTACATTAAAAAGCGACGTTGCCACGCAGTGCAAACTATTGGTATTGCGACATATCGTTGTCTAAACAGAGTGTTCACTTTTACTGAATTTATTTTAATATTTATTATGTTTGAAAATTTCACTTTTTTTATTTTGCGGGTTTTAATTTAATATTTAATTTTTCTACACTTCTACGGACTAGTATTACTTGTGGTTTCATTTATTGCATATATGTGGGACCCCATTCTGTATATATATATATATATATATATATATATATATATATATATATAAGGATAGGGTGATACTATACCTCATACGGCCAGCAGTGAAGGACCACGTCTTATACCCATGAGCAACGTCGCGAATAAACGGCCCCCAGTCCCCGGCGGCCCCGCTATTCCTGGCTATATATATATATTTATAGGATAGGGTGACAAACGAGCACACAGTCCACCTGATGGTAAGTGGTTGCTGTGGCCCGTAGACATCTACATCTATCCTCGATTACGAATCAAAATGCAGATGCGTTGTCACCCGTGAGGACTAAGATGGAATGCCTCGTTTCCAGTAAAAAGGGTCTCCGGTTCTCTACACTCACCATACGAAATACAGCAGCATTAAGCCACTATTTCACGCTGGTATTCTTTGAGAGCGTGGTCCTTCCCCGGTTGAGCCGACCCATTCGTGCTACAACTATACTACTAATATAACTGCAGCATGGCTTTACCACAACGAATGTCAAACTAATGACATAAAATGTATGTCATTAGTTTGACATTCAAGTAAAAGCACTGCAAAAAACCGTGAGAAAATCAGTAAATTTCCCACTTGGGGTAATTAATCGTGTTATGGTATAATTTCGGCACACATACATACAAATAAGAATGACCTCTTATATTTTATTTAAGTTAAAAGTATTGGTGGAGCCACGTGTTTAAGGCTGCCGAAAATCTAGTTCCCCGGTCAAACCTCAAACCTATTACGCGAGATATTAACTAAAGTGGACTGTATATGCGATTGCTTCTATGCTTATGTGAAGCGACTACTATAGCATGCGGTACAATGCACTCGCTCTTCCCCTAAACTAAACTATTACTTGTCGAATCGATGAAAGGAATCCTGCTTGACTAGGAAAAAAACACAAATTGGAGCGGGTTAAATTATTAGCAAGCAGGTATAATTAAGGAGTATTGACTCACCGGGGTTTCTTCTTCCTGTCGATCACTATAGCGACTTCTGGAACACTCCGGAGAGAGGCGGTGCGCGACGATATCTCACACGAGGTGAGGCGGGTTCCTGGAGCTCGACTGCTTCCAGGCCAAAGCGGTTTCCACTAGTGAGGTGTTTCCAAACAAGCGCGCGGGAAGAGGAGGTTGTAGTTCAACGACGACTGCGGCGGGAGAAGAAAGCGCGCGTCGGTCGCGCGTGTCTTATATATCCTCGGGTCCGATGATTACGCGATGTTCTAGAATCGTCTTCTTTCCCCTCCCACCCCACCACCCCGATGTGTCGATAGGAGGGTACGAATGATATTGTTTCGGAAGGGAATAATGATTCGACAAATTCCTACCGTCAAAAATAAAAAACGCGAATGGTTTTCCGCGCAACCATCTCCCCCCGCCCTTGAAGGATTTCCTTCAAAAAAAATAACTAAACAACTAGAGCTAAGATCGACTAACAAATAACTAACTAACGCTAAGATTACCTAAATTAAACTACAATTTCAGTCAAAAAAGCTAATTTAAATTATGGAAGAGGCAAGGGGCACAAACGGATAACCGGACGTAGG